CCTGGCACTGGAACCCTGAGATGGGCATCTGGTGTGGAACGGGGACCCCTCAGTCCTCAGGGAAGACCTTCCCAGCCGAGGTGTCCTCTTGATTTTTATCCGCCACATGTGGGTGTGGGACCAGCCCATCCGCCTCCGCCCTCCTACCAGTCTCAGTGTGGCTGCTGCTTTAATTCCGTAGTTGTAGGACTTCCATTCAGCTCGATGTCAGGCGGTTCTGAATGATGGTTGTTCTGTAGTTTAGTTGTAATTTTGATGTGGTTGTGGGTGATATAGCGTTTACCTGCGCCGCCATCTTGACCGGAAGTCTCAGTAAGCATGATTCTTGATGACTACTTAATTGTTCATCATTTGACTGTATTCCTTTCATGTGGTTTGTGTTGATTAGACATCTGTTTCCTTTTTAGTTATTTATTTTTACTGTTTTAAATAACCGTGACTAACATATTTAGATATACCTTAAGTTTGCACTTGAACCAGTTTCTTAGACTAGCTTGTTAGAGTTGGAACTGTTGGATCAAGGAATGTAAAGACTTTTTATTATTATTATTATTGTTGAAAGTATTACAGATGTCTCCGTTTTTCCCCCTTTGACCCTCTCCTTCCCACTCCCAGCCCCATCCTGCTTTCCCAGCCTAGTGTTCGTGTTGATTGGTTGTGCATATATGCATATAAATCCTTTGGTTTATCTCTTTTCACCCTTCCCACCCTCGTCCCTCTGAGGTTTGTCAGTCTGTTCCCTACTTCCATGATTCTGGATCTCTTTTGGTCAACAGCTTATTTTGTTCATTATGTTCCACAAATAAGTGAGATCACATGGTACTTGTCTTTGACTGGCTTATTTTACTTAGCATAATACTCCCCTGGTCTCTCCATGTTGTCTCCAAGAGTAAGAGATCTCTCTTTCTTACAGCTGCATGGTATTACATTGTATAAGTGTACCTCAGTTTTTTTATCCACTCATCTACTGATGGACACTTGGGCTGTTTCCAGATGTTAGCTATAGTAAATAGTGCTGCTATGCACATAGGGGAACTTATATTCTTCTTGATTGGTGTCTCAGGCTTCTTAGGGTATATTCCTATAAGTGGGATCACTGGTGAATGGCAGTTCCATTTTCAATTTTTTGAGGAAACACCATATTGTTTTCCATAGTGGCTGCACCAGTCTGCATTCCCACCAGGAGTGTGCTAGGGTTCCCTTTTCTCCACACCCTTGCCAGCACTTGTTTGATAATTTGTTGATGGCGGCCATTCTGACAGGTGTGAGGTGATACCTCCTAGTCATTTTAATTTGCATCTTTTTGATGATTAGAGACGATGAGAATTTTTTCATATGTCTCCTGGCCTTTTGTATGTCCTGTTTGGATTCAGGTCCTCTGCCTATTTTTTGATTGGGTTGTTTGTCTTCCTTTCGTTGAGTTGTATGAGTACTCTGTATATTTTGGATATTAACCCCTTAGCCAGAACTGAATTTCATGATTTTTAAAAACATCTTTGCATTCCTTATTAAAGGGAACCAGGAGTCCTTAGAGAACTGACTAATTCTAGGCCTGGGGCAAAGATAGTTCAAGATGAACTTGGTATGTTTTAGGGTCGGAAAGTAAGAAAGTGCTCAAAAGGTGCTGGAGGCATGTGAAATAGAGGCAGGAGCTAGCTCAAAGGTGCACTCACTGGGTAAATCGGGGACAACCTGACCATCAAAACGAGTAGTGGAAGAAATGAATTATAACATTATTATTATTATTTTTTAATCCTCACCCGAGGACATTTTTCCATTTTTTGTTCAGATAGACTGGGAAGGAGAGAGAGGAAGAGAGAGAGAGAGAGAGAGAGAGAGAGAGAGAGAGATCGACGTGAAAGGGACACATCGAGTGGCTGCCACCTGAACGACCCAACCAGGGCTGGGAACAAACTGCAACTGAGGTACATGCCTTTAGCGGGAACTGAACCCGGGTCTCTCTTGACTGCAGGCCAACGCTCTAACCGCTGAGCATAACTGGCCAGGGCTATAACATATTATTTAAAAAATTGTAAGTTCCTATTGATACTGTTAAAAATAAACAAGGGCATATAAAATAATTGAAGTTTATTTGATTTTTTTCCTTTATTGATTTTAGAGAGAGAGGAAGGGAGACGAAGAGAGAGATAGAAACATTGATGAGAGATAACATCAATTGGCTACCTCTTGCATGCCCCCCTCTGGGGATTTGGCCCACAACCTGGGCATGTGCCCTGACTGGGAATCGAACCGGTGACCTCTTGGTGCATGGGTCGACGCTCAACCACGGAGTCACACTGGCCAGGCAAATTGAAGTTTATTTGAATAAGAACTGGGCATCATCAAATTCAAAGTGGTCAGGAGCACTCCAGGGCAGAAACTAGGGGGAAAGACTTTATAGAGAAGAAGCAGAAACAAAGCAAAGAAATTATTGGATTGGCTATAACTTATGCAGATGCCTCATTTGGGAAAGTTTAGGTGGCTGTTTGTAATTGGCTGTCCTTGAGGCCTTAACAGGCTTAGGTTTGGGCTTGCTTACATTGGCTACTAAGGCATTAGAGCCACCCTAGTTCCATGGCCTCCTTGTTTAATTAATTTAATAATACTAATCATCATAGAGATAAAACATAGCATCATTATAATAATAATCGACTCAGCAAGAATCATAAATATGTGCTCTGACAAAAGTTTTTGAGAAGCATATTTATACAAAATATCTACAGTTAAAATATATCTGGACTCAGCGGTTAGAGCATTGGCCTGCGGTCCAGAGAGACCAGGGTTTGGTTCCCGCTAAGGGCATGTACCTCCGTTGCAGTTTGTCCCCGGCCCTGGTTGGGTTGTGTGGGAGGCAGCCACTCGATTTGTCCCTTTCATGTCGATGTTTCTCTCTCTCTCTCTTCCTCTTTCTCTCTCCCACTCTATCTGAACAAAAAATGGAAAAATGTCCTCGGGTGAGGATAAAAACAAACAAACAAACAAACAAACAAACAAAATTTATCTGGAATTAATTTTGATGTCTGGTATGAGGTGAGAAGCTAAACTAATTTTTCTCCTCAAATGGTAGCCACTTTCCATCTCTTTTCCACGGAAATCAAACTGTAATTTAATGCAGATATTAGACTGTAAGCTTCTTGAACACATGGACTATATCTTGTTCATAATTTTATCCCTTGTGTCTACTTAGTCATCAAATTAGTCACTCAAAAAATGACAAATGGTCATTTAGTCTCACTACTGCTAAGTTAAACAAGGCCACTAGCCTGAGAGGGCTCTAATGCCTATGTAAGCAAACCACTTTTGGTTTAATTTCCTTTCCAGTGGCCCCTGCCAAGCCCCATAATTGCAGTCAGCAGGTTTTTTTTTTTTTTTCCAGCTAATGGCACAATACTTATTGCTGGGCAAAATGATGGATAATGCAAGCTGAGCAAGATGGGGCTTAGTAACTGTATTTGCACCAGTCTTTGTAACTCAAAACTTGAATGAAAAGATTAGGTATAGAGCTGTCGACATAAGAAACATTGAAACCTGTAGAGAGTTTTTATGAGTTTATTTGTCACACTGACAATTGCCGGGAAGCAAAACCTCAATGAACTGAGAAAATACTCTAGAGAATGGGAGTTCTGCAATTTATTTTATACATTAGAACAAAAGGAGGAGCCATGGAGGATTACATGAAATCTGTTGGTGGTAGATTAACCGGGTGAGAGAAAGCAAAGGGAGGGGCAAAGACCTCTGGGACTGGATAAAAAGTGAAAGGAAGAGACACCTTCTTCTTTTACATTGGTGGGTACAGGCAGTTAATAATTAACATTTCCACCATAATGATGGTATGGGGGAACAAGATAATGAAGGCTTCTGTGATCTGGTGCTCTTGTGCTGAGTGAGGTTGTGCTCTGAGGAGTCTGAAAAAGATTACTCTGACATTTCAAATGAATGTTATTTTAGATGCAGAGAGACAAGACAGGCTCACTTAAGGTAAAGATTAACTTTTGTCAAGGAAGTTACAGCCCTAGGAGTGAGTACCTGCCATAACTTGCTTTTAGTTAGGAATTTTTATGTTCAGATCACCCAATGTGGTTACTTTTTTTTTTTTATCCTCACCCGAGGACTTTTTTTTTTTTCGATATTTTGTTCAGATAGAGTGGGGGGGGGGGAGAGAGAGAGAGAGAGAGAGAGACATCGATGTGAAAGGGACACATCGAGTAGTTGCCACCCGCACAACCCAACCAGGGTCGGGGACAAACTGCAACCGAGGTACGTGCCCTTAGCGGGAACCGAACCCGGGTCTCTCGGGACCGCAGGCCGACGCTCTAACCAAACCGGCTGAGCCAAACCGGCTAGGGCGAAATCTATAAGTGTGTAAGGCTTGCCATACTGGCCTCCTCTGAGCTTATCAGGTTTATGTACACAGAGCTAACATCATTTACCTTAGTTAGACACTGTACCAAATGCTTTCTGTGCAATTCTTCTAAAAAAAAACAACTATCTGTGAAGTGGGTACTATTATTAGTCCCATTTAAAGATAAGAGATCTGGGGACTAAAGAAATTAGTAATTTGTTTACGGTCACGTGGCTAGTTATCAGTAGAGTCACCCAAGTATAACAATTTCGGCTACAGAAATAAGTGCTCTATGTGGCACAAGTTTCTGCCAGTCCATGAGAACACTGAGCGCAGTTGCATATTATAAGTGCCCGCATATTCGAACACATACGGTAGCCGCCGGCCAGCCTGCAGCCGTCTGGTGACCTGGCGCGCCAGATGCTCACGCGCGCAGTCTCTCTTGCTTCTACCAAGGCTGGGACCGCCCGATTTCGACCAATTTGTCGAGGACGACTCTATCTGGGTTGGACTCCCTCCGCCTGAACATCTGATCCGAGCGTCGGGAGGACTGGGAGGGGGCGGAGCCGGCGTCCCGGAAAGTTGCGGATTGGAGAGGAGAAGAAAAAGGGCGGAGCCTTGGGGGGAAGGGAGAAGCCGCATCAATCTTGTAAGCAGCTTTGCTTCCTGCCGCAACTGCCGGTGGCCGTTGTACGGCGGCCCTGCGCCCCGAACCGGGCTTCGTGTGGGAGAACGGGGTGAAGCGGCGGCTGGGGAGGAGGAGTTGGCGGCCCGGGCGGGAGGCGCAGGTAAGGGCGGGGGTCTGGCGCGCTGCCTGCTGGGGCTGAGAGTGGGGACGAAGGCCGGTTTGGGGAGCTCCGGGGCCGGAGCGGAGGGGACGGCTAAAGTGAAGGCGAGAGCTGGGGCTCCCCAACCGCGGCTGGTCAGGGACGGGCAGAGGACCTGTGCCCGCTGTTAGCCGGCTCCCCGATTCCCCGGTTGCCCCTTGTCATGTGAGTGTGGAAGGGAGCCGGGTGGGGCTGTTCTTGAAGAGGTTTCCTTGGAAACGTTCGAAGTTCCCTCGTCTGGCGTCCCTAAGCTTATTTTGGAGGTGCACAGCCCAGTTCCTCCTCCCTCTGGTGGATGAGCTCTGAATCTGTGCGTCAGCGGTGCGTCCGTAGACGGGAGAAGAAAGTTCATGAGCGACAGAAACGACAGCACTCGTTGGGTTTCTAATGTGTGGATGCCTCCTTAAATGCTTGCCTCTGCTGTTTGAGGCGATTGCGTCTCTGCCTGTGTTTCACAGCCTAAGAGGAGACTGGATTTCCCAATCGGTATTTTCCCTTTGCTTAGGATGTTCCCAGCAAGAGGATGAGACTGGAATGTGATGGATATTTTTAAGGAATTAAGGTATTTTGTCTAATAGAGGTTATTTTTTTCCCTCTATTGATTTTTAGAGAGAGCAGAAGGGAGAGGGAGAGATAGAAACATCCGTGAGAGAGAACATCGATTGGCTGCCTCTTGCATGCCCCCCACTGGGGACTGGGCCCCCAACCTGGGCATGTGCTCTGACCAGGAATTAAACTGTCACCTCTTGGTGCATGGGTCAATGCGCAACCACTGGCCAGGCTAGAGGTTATTCTTAAGACACTCCAGAAATATGAGAAATGCTAGAATTCAGTCTAAAGCAAGTTATTTCTGTTTATGTGATGTATGTATATGTTAAATGATCATGTATTGATTCATTGCATCCTCTGTGATAAAGTTCGTATACTATGGACAGTTCAAGTAGTTGCTTGGTATATTGCGCCGTCTTATTTCTGATTTCTTTGAATTATTATTTCTGTTTTTGAATCTTTTTCAATCTTCTCACTGATTTATTTGAATCTCATTTTCTGGCACTCCAAAAATTCCCACTCCATCAGGATTCTTACAAAAAATAATCTCAGTTTCTCTCACTTTGGCTTTGGGTTTGTGGCAAAGATTGAACCGGTTAAGTCTCTTCTGCAGAGGCACTTTCCTGTGTCCTCCCCTTTTCTTTTTGGGAAGAGTATTGTGGAACACGTTGTGGTTTTCCTTTAGTGTTTTTGTTGGCATGTTGACCAAAGGTTGAACAACAACAACAAAACTTTGTTGATGAAAAGTAACATTTCTAATATTCAGCAGCCCTGCAATATTAGCTATGTTTTGAGTACTTAAAAACACACACACACAAAACACTTAGAATCCCTGGCAGATAGCTCAGTTGGTTAGAGCATTGTCCTGATATTCCATGGTTTCTGTACATAAAAGACTCAACCAGTGACTGCATAAGTGGAACAACAAATTCGTGTTTCTCTCTGTCCCCCTCCGTCCCTCTCTCTCTTCCATTTCCTCTCCCCTTCTCCCTTACTTTCCCTTTCTGTCACAAATCACTTTAAAAAAACTACTTAGAAATGACTTGAGCAATATTTGAATTTTTTTCATCTGCAGAAATTTTAATATTGGCTGGCAGATTTGGTTTATTTTCTACATTTTAATATCTGATTAGCCTTCAGGTTGGTGTAAGCAACAAGACAATGTGAAGTGGATCTGTATATAACAAATAGCAGCCTTCAATGAGAAGAGGCAAAGAAAGTAACTGGTGCTACATCAGAGGTCTTTGGATGAGTAGGTTAATACTGTTAGTTATCTCTCAGGAAAGAGTCCTAGTTTATATCAGAGACAGTTATTAAGCTACCAGAGAGCAAGAGTTGTAGTTTTTTTCTGGAATCCTGATGTCATTATGTGGTTTTTAAGATTAACTCTATGTAGTTGTATTTGTTTCAGAAACTACATTTGCTGAATCTTTTCATGGTAATTTTTATCCTCACATCTCCATAGCCTAATGAAAGTTTTGTATGTGGAAGACTCTTAAAAGTAATGCTAAGACTCTTTGGGCACATTGCTAACTCTGCTTCTGATGTTACTTTTATCATAGTAGAATGAGTGTAGGCTGATTTCTGAGGCCCGAGGGTTATTGCCATCACATTATTCTTTCTTTCCAGTACTCTTTTCCCCTCCTTTTTCACCATTTGGCATTTGACCAGTCTCCAGCTTACTTCCTAATCCTTTATGCTAGAATATGGATCCTCACGACACTTTAGAAGGATTGCTGACTACCCTCCCCAATAGAAGATAATGTTAGAGACCTTCTCTGCTTCCTCTTCTTCCTCTGCTCCTTCCTCCCCCCCCCCCCCCATTCAATAAACATTTACTGTGAAAATTCCGTTCAAGCCAGTGGTTTAATTCTGCTTTAATTTGTTAAGTAAATTATTAATCAGGCAGTTTCTTGAGTAGTTAGAATTTAGATAGGCTAGAATTCTGTGAAGAGCTACAAAAGTAATTTTGCTTAAAAGAACTCTGGTGTGAAACATGGGGTTTAGTTACAGCTCTACTACTGACTAATTGTGTGATACTCAAGAAAGTGGTTTTAGACTCAGTGTACATCGGTTTCCTTAAAGGTAAAATACAGTAATAAGGCCAGTTCTGTGCGCCTTCCAGGATTTTTGTAAAAATTAAATGAGATGGTAAATATGATTTTGAAAGTGAAAACATTTAAAAGAGTATAATGTCCTCTTTGTGAAGTATAAATTAGATGAAAACTAAGACTTTAATGACTAAAGTGATGCATAGTTCATGGTTCTCTTTTATTTGAAGTATTAATCAATATGGCAGAAAATAGACATCAGTGCTTTTCTGTAATTTTCATCTGGTGATGTGGTTACCTTTACTGCTTTGGTTTAATTATGAGTTTTGGTTAGTGCCTGGGAGGAACATGATGGGGAACAGCTTGTCGATTTGGATAATCTCAAGGTGTCAAGGCATAGCTTGAGATACTTTTTGAGGTTATACAGAAGTGTCACGAAGGGGTAGCTTTCATTTTCTTTTCTTGAAAATATTTATCCTTATGCATGACCAATGGACATGTACCACAAAGCTGGGGACAGGGAGGGGAGGGTGGGAGGGGGAATCAATGGGGGAAAAAGGAGAAACATCTGTAACAAAAATAAATAAATTAATAAAAAAAAAAAAAGAAAATATTTATCTTGTATAAGTTTTGAAAGAAAAAAATTGAAATGACTAAAACAAAGCTTTGAGGAATTTATATGCTTGTGTGAAACCAGTTTTTCCCCATAACTTTAAAAAGCTATTGAATATCTCTTTTTACAAAAAAATTTAAAATGAAAAAGATATAAACTATGCAAAAATGCATTTAATTTCTTTTTAGCTATTCACATTTATGCGCTACTTCTAATTTTTAAATAATTTTTATAATTTCTGTAGCAATGTTGAAAATTAGATTGGCTATATGATCATGGTTTTAGGTGATTGAGCCTTCCTTATGATCTAGACCCGAGAGTTTTCAAGCCTTAATTTGAAGTATATGCTAAACTAGATTTATTTACTCTTTGGTTTTCATAGGTCTGAATTCTCAGAGTCATGTTTTCAGATAGTTAGGAATCCTGTTTGGAATTAACATTTGTGCTTCCTGAGGAACTTTATATCTTGTGCTTATTTGTTTTTTGTTTTGTTTTTTTAGACTCATGAAATGGCCACAGATGATAAGACTTCCCCAACATTGGACTCTGCCAATGACTTGCCTCGATCTCCTGCTAGTCCTTCTCATCTCACACACTTTAAGCCTTTGACTCCTGATCAGGACGAACCTCCTTTTAAATCAGCATATAGTTCATTTGTAAATCTCTTTCGCTTTAACAAAGGTAAGACTTATTCTTAATGATCAGAGAACCTGCAGTTTTGATTCTCTGAAATTCTCTTGTCAGGTTTCTCTTGTGTCTTTGCAAGAATGTAAATTATTAACAATGAGAGAGCTTTAATCATAGGTCACTGGGGTTTACTGCTTAAGACAGTGGTTCTCAACCTGTGGGTCGCGTGACCCCTTTAGGGATCGAACGACCCTTTCACCGGGGTCGCCTAAGACCATCAGAAAACACATATTTCTGATGGCGATTCATAACAGTAGCAAAACTACAGTTATGAAGTAGCAGCGAAAATAATTTTATGGTTGGGAGTCACCACGACATGAGGAACTCTATTAATAAAGGGTTGTTGCATTAGGAAGGTTGAGAACCACTAAGCTTAAGAGAAAGCTAGAATTTTCACTGTAATATTATTTATTGGTAAGTGAAGATCTGAATAAATGTTCAAAGGAGATCCCTTTTTAAAGTGTTTAAAAAAGTTTTTTTATTATGTTTCAGCTTCTTAAGTTCACAGAATGGACTTTGTTCTTTTAGGGTTAATAGGCAAAATATTTTAATTAAGGCAATGAACCTAAAAGGATTAGCATATGGGAGGAAAAAGTTATTTTTCAAAAATGGAAACTATCTTCAGACCTGTTGTTGTTGATTTAAACCCATTAGGTGAGGTGTAAATGTAATGCTGTCAAATGAAAAGATACTTTTAAAGTGAGTTCTTTTTAAGTAATATATTTTTTACCTGAAAGAAAGATTAAGAAAACATGACCTACATATTTTTGCTTTCTGTTTGGCTGTATTATTATTTTTTTAAATTCTCATCCAAGGACACTTTTTTGTTTTTTTGTTCAGATAGAGTGGGAGGAGAGAGAGGAAGAGAGAGAGAGAAACAGCGACGTGAAAGGGACACATTGAGTGGTCGTCATCCACACGACCCAACCAGGGCCGGGGACAAACTGTAACTGAGGTACATGCCCCTAGCGGGAACCGAACCCGGGTTTCTCTGGACCGCAGGCCGATGCTCTAACCACTGAGCCAGACCGGCCAGTGCTAATTTATTATTTGAAATGGGTTAGAAAAATATCCTTTTTGTTGTAAGGAATTTAGGGGTTAATAATTTAAGTAGAAATTTTAATAGTATTAACTGGTTTTTATTAGTAGTCATGTTTAAAGTCCTATAGAGTGTTTGTCCATTTTACAGAAAATTAAAAAAAATAAAACTTATTGTTTAGAATAGTTTCAGACTTACAGAAAAATTGGAAACTAGTACAGAGAATTCTCATTTCCCCACACCCAGTTTCTCCTATTATTAACATCTTACATTAATATGGTACATTTATTACAATTAATGAATGAACCATTTTTGATAATTATTAATTAAAATAAGTCTTTTATTCATATTTCTTCAGTTTTTACCTAATGTTCTTTTCTGTTCCAAGATTCCATTCAAGAGACTGCATTATATGTAGTCATCATAAGACAACAATCTTTTTATTTAGCAAATGTTTATTGATCACCTACTGTCCACTGGGCACTATTTTAATAGTGCAAGGGATCTGATCTATCCCATGAACAAAACAGATCCCCTCAAAAATCTGTGCCTTTGTGTGAAGCTTGCATTCTGTTTTCTTTTTTTTATCCTCACTCGAGGACATTTTCCCATTTTTTGTTCAGATAGAGTGGGAGGGAGAGAGAGGAAGAGAGAGAGAGAGAGAAACATCGATGTGAAAGGGACACATCGAGTGACTGCCTCCCGCACGACCCAACCAGGGCCGGGGACAAACTGCAACTGAGGTACTTGCCCTTAGCGGGAACCGAACCCGGGTCTCTCTGGACCGCAGGCCGACGCTCTAACCACTGAGCAAAACTGTCCAGGGTGCATTCTGTTTTCTTTAATATGCTCAAGATATTTATAGTGAAAAATAAAGTAAACTGAAGATCACATATATCAAGAAAGTGATTATTGGCCTGCAATTTTGCCACTTTTTAGAATTTTTTAAAATCCTAATTTTTAATTTTGCCTGTAATACATATATACATTCCATCCTGTAAGATTTCATCTATTTCTGTCTCTTTGCTGAACTCTGAGTCTTAATTTTTCAAATAATGCAAGCTTTCCTTTGCTACAGAGAGAGCAGAGGGGGGCCAGGGAGAGCAGCAGTCTTTAAGTGGAAATTGGACCAGCCCTCTGCTCCCTTCAAGAGCACAGTCTGTGAGGTCACCTACACCTTATAAAAAACAGCTTAATGAGGAACTCCAGCGGCGCTCTTCAACAGTATTAGGTAAGGCAGTGTTCTTATGTCATTCCGCTCTGTGTATCAGATTTTTCCACAGTCATTGTTTCTCAGGTTGTTTATTGACTTAACTTTTCTGCTGTTTGGAATAGTCAGGTACCCATCAGAATTAATGAAACTGTTGCCTAGATAGTGAAAGAATTTGTAGATACCTAAACAAAATTTCTTGAACATTTTATTAAACTTTAATAGGCTGGCAGAAATCTCTTGATTGTTTTTTTATTTTATTAATTCCTTGCTTGGGTTTCAGCAGAGAACAGTTTGCAACATCCCCAGGAGAACACAGGTTAGTTTCAGCTTTGTGAATGAATCCTGCATTTGTTCATGGGATGGCTAGTGCAATGTGATGTGCATGCCTCTGGCTGCAGAACTCTATCAGCTTCATTCATGGGCTGCCGTGGGCTCTTGGCCTTTGTTCTTATGGTGCAAACTGTCAGTGTGGCTGGATAAGCTGAACTCTTGCCTGTATGTTCTCCATCTTGGTCTATGACACAATCATCTCCTTCATTTTCATGCTCTTCTGATGAGTCTAGGCTGGGGATCAGTGCCTGAATTGAAGGCTAGATAAAGTGAGTTGTTTTATGTTTTATTTCTGTTAGATTATTAAACTCAGTGACGTGGTTTGCCCAACTCAAGGTGAGAGAAGAAAGGCAGTGAGAGGTGGCATAATAGAAGGGAAGGGGTACAGCATTGGAAATCGAATGTCCTGACACCAGATTCTTGTCTTGTGTGGCCAACCTTCTCCACAACAGTCTTCGAGTGAAAAATAGGCAGGTGCAGGTAATGGTGGTTTGCAGGAGGATATTTTATTGCTAATTGAGACTTGGTTTAGAACCTCTTTCTGGTGGGTCTGGAGGAGGAGAAACCAAGCAGAAGTTCCAAGACTGAAACAGCTGGCTGCATCACCTCACAGGTCTCCCAGGGAAGGGAGCCTCAGCCTGGGTTACAGCAGCCATTTGGAAGGAATCAGAGGGGAAAAGAGGGAGAGGGAGAATGGAGCTCTCCCTTTACTTCAAGGGATGAGAGGAAGAGACTATCCCCACTTTAACCTTTAACCTTAGTAAACTCTCCTTAGCTCTTGAACCTGACTGTGGCAACACTTCTATTTTTGTTGAGGGAGCTCTTCTGACTAAAGCCTATGCTGAATTAAGCATAGGATTTCTTTATTTGTAAAATTGAAGAGTTGGACTAGAATCTGATGTTTTAGGGGTTACAAACTGACAGCCTACCAAATCTTGCCTTGGTGTTTTGATAAACTTGAATTTAAATATCAGTTATGTCTGGTTTGCTATAGTCCCCGCCATTTCTTATTGTCTTGTATCAGGTGCGCTTGATTCTTTTATTCTGCCTTAGCTGCTAGAGGCTCAGAAACCTGGGACTATTTGACCAGTCAATTTCCTTTTCCATAAAAGGCCGCATATAAGTCCACAATTTAATAGCTCTATGACCTTAGGAGAATCATATAATTTTCTAATATCTGTTTTATAAGAGACACAGCTAAGATTGTTTGCTTAATAGAAGAGTGTCAGGACAGATTTTCCCTCTGGGCTCTTTCGTCTTTATCTCAGATCTCTGACTCTGTTGGTTTCAGGAACAGACTTGCTGTTCCTTTTCCAATGGATGATGCTGTTAGCACGCTCTTAACTCCTAACTGGCCAAATGCAAGGGGCTTCACAATTCATTGTTTGTTGCCTGTGCATGGGAGCACACCTGTTACGATTCTAATTACAATTCTAATAGCTTCATCTGTCTCTTTTTCAGCTAATAAATCATGGAGAGTTGTTTTATATTGTGATACTAAAAAAAAAAATTGGTCCTTCTAATACATTTTTTTCAAGATTCTTTTTTTAGAATTTATTATTGATTTGAGAGAGAGAGAGAGAGAGAGAAACATTGGTTTGCTGTTCCACCCATTTATGCATGCGTTGGTTGATTCTTATATGTGCCCTGACCGGAACTCGAACCTGAAACCATGGCATATTAGGACGACACTCTAACCAACTGAGCTACATGGCCCAGGCTAATGCTTATACATTTTTATTTTACTAAAAACACAGGTATCTGCTGAAATTAGGACATTACTATGTATAGAAAGATAACGTTTTCTAACATAGGTGCTGTTTAGATAATTATTTCTGTAATTAAATTATCTTTGTCAATTTGGATTTATGTACTGACCTCTCATTTTTTGTAATCCTTTTTTCCCCACTGAACCAAAACAAAGCGCACCTAAAACAAATTAGGCAAATAAGTGAGTTAAAGAAAGATGTAGGGTATTTTCCATCTTGCTTCACCTTAGATTAATAGGTTAATGAGTTTAAACTGGTAGGCATGTTCATTGTTTCTGTCGAGCCATCTGTATTTCATCCTTAGGTTTTGTGACTGCCGGAGATAGGAATAGGTGGACACTTCAGTCAGTAGTAGTCTTACTCTAAAATAAAGAAATAATATGTGACAGCTTGGGTGGACACACCCCATCTGGCTACAAAGCTGGCATTGGAATTTGGTAATTGATAAGACTGGCTTCAGTAGTGCCCTTTTGGTGTGAGTGATCCCCTCTAGTTTGGAGCTGTAGAGGTGGGAGGTGGCATGGAGGGTGGCATTGGCATTCTAGCGGTTCTTGGGCAGTTTTAATCTGCTTGGACATTGGTGAAGGAAAGTCTGTGGGTAAATTACTGATGTGGATATTCTGAGGTCTGTCAGACTCTTTGTGGACTGAGCTATTATATTCCTTTCTGATCATCTGCTGTCTGAGACTTTGGATACGTGGTCTGCAGACTGAACTGAACTGCTCAGCCCTGTTGCTGTTGAGCTGTAGAGACTAAGCTAGGTTAACTCACTGGGATTGCTTTTGCTTCTGCTAAATTTCTAGCAGGTGTTTATTATGGCTTGCGACCAACGGCCCCAAGAAATCACTGGGAAGTTTTGGGCCATTTAAGCAATCCTCCTGTCCCAGGCTTTAAAACCATGAGTGGTCTCAGACAGTGCTTATCTTAGGAGCCCTTACTTGTGAAATAGTGTTTTAAATGGTAATATAAAAACACTTCGTGGAAAGAAACACTTTTCAACACCTGTTACCTTTATAAAGACTAGTTTTAACTCTCAGTCCATGTCACTGGCTGTGAGAACATAAGTATGTGCTAACAGTAAGAGGCACTGTGCACCACATATGTACCTCGTTTTGCATAGATACTGAAGACTCTTAACAAGACGTTTTTTATTTTTATTTTTTTTGGTAAATCTGACTCAGAAACAAGAAGAAAAGCAGAACCTACCTTTGGAGGTCATGACCCTCGTACAGCTGTTCAGCTTCGAAGCCTCAGCACAGTATTAAAACGCCTCAAGGAAATCATGGAGGGGAAAAGCCAGGTACGGTCTAAGGGCTTCAGATTACTTATTAAGCCCTTATATGGGGTTCATGCTGTACTCACTGAAAATGGCATAATGTCCTTGCAAGAAAGTTCAGTTAGTATTCCCTCTACCCAGGAACACTGTATTTATACACATAGGCACTTACTTTTAATTTATAATTTTTCCCCTTTTATAGTTATATGTGTTTTTTTGTGTTCTGTTTAAGAAGCATTTATCTAGCCTGAGGTCAGGAAATATTCTCCATGATTTCTTGAAGAAGCTTTATTATTTGTGTGAAGTTTAGGAGTCAAGCTTCATTTTTTTTTTCTCATGGCTCTTCCTTTAGACTTGGCATCATATTGTTTTTGGAAAACATCACCCTTCACTGATTGCATTCGAGATCTTGTCATAAGTCCATACATTGTGTGAGGGTGGGCTAGAGGCCTCTTTTGTGCTATTCCGTAGCTCCATTTTTTTTCTATCCTTGAACTGATTCTTTGTCTAAAATTGTAGCTTTAGAATAAGTCTTGATGGCTGGTCATATGTTCTTCAGTTTTGTTCTTCAAGATTGTCTTGGTCATTTTGGTCTTTCCATTTCCATTTGAATTCTAGAAATAGGTTGTCAATTTCTGCAAAAGAAACCCTGTAAGATTTTAATTAGCATTGCATTTGTCATGCATCTTCATCACTGTTTTCAAGAAGACTTCATATATTTTTATGGTTACAGGATAGTGACCTGAAGCAATACTGGATGCCAGATAGCCAATGTAAGGAGTGCTATGACTGTAGTGAGAAATTTACAACCTTTAGGCGCAGACACCATTGCCGATTATGTGGACAGATTTTCTGCAGTCGTTGCTGTAGTCAAGAAATCCCAGGAAAATTTATGGGTTATACAGGTAAATGCATTTTACTGACAGTTTTACAATTTTAAAATGTCCTAAGTATAGCCCTGGCCGGTTTGGCTCAGCGGTTAGAGCGTCGGCCTGCGGTACAGAGAGACCCGGGTTCGGTTCCCGCTAAGGGCACGTACCTCGGTTGCAGTTTGTCCCCGGCCCTGGTTGGTTGTGCGGGTGGCAGCCACTCGATGTGTCCCTTCACATCGATGTTTCTCTCTCTCTCTCTTCCTCTCTCTCCCTCCCGCTCTATCTGAACAAAAAATGGAAAAATCTCCTCGGGTGAGGATTAAAAAGGAAAAAAAAAAAAAATGTCCTAAGTATAAAATAATTATAATACAGGACTGATGTTAAGCCAGTTTTAATTTTGGGCTTTATATGTGAACCATGGAGGACACAGAGGTAAGGGAGACATAGCTTTGCTTTTAAGGGCTTTATAGTCAAGTAACGAAGTAGATGAGGATGCTCATAAATAAGTAGAGTAACAGTCAGTGTATCATAGATGTTATCAAAAAACCCTAGGGACATTAACATTTATTACATGTGGTTAGAGTAAGTAATGAGTTTATATTGCTGTGAGAGTTTTCATTTTACAAAATACAGGTCTTCCTTGAGTATATGACACTGTGCTGTAGTAAATTGCATCTCTCATTATTTTTGCATATATATTGGCAATATGGAAGTTTAATTATTTGTTGAAGCAGAAAAAAACTACATGGTGGTGTGTGGATTTATACAGTGATTTGAGAGTGTAAGGTGGGCAGAAGGTATCCAAATGAAAACACTATAAGCGTCTCTCTCATGGTTATTTTTACTATCATGCAGATTTCCCTTTTGGTCTTATTCTTTTTTCACCTAAACTACTACAGAGTTTTAGACTTGAATTATCTTTCATCCAGATTATGGCTACAGCCTCTAAAAAGATTTTTTTTACCATTAGTTTTCTTCTACCTCTAATTGATTTTTCATATTCTAGTTGGTATTCTTTTTTTTTCAAGAATAGTTTATTGATTTTTAGAGAGGAAGGAAGAGAGAGAGAAACATGGATGTGAGAGCACAACATTGATGGGCTGCCTCCTGCACTCCCCCCCTGGGGATCGAGTCTGAAACCCAGGCATGTGCCTTTGACCGGCATTGAGCCGGCAACCGCCTGGTGCACACGATGATGCCCAGCCAACTGAGCCACACCAGCCAGGGCATCCAGTTAGTATTCTTAATTAAATGAAGGCACATGCTAATTTGATCATGTCAGGGTATTCCCCTGCCTAAAACCCTTTCAGAGCTCTGTTACCCTTAGGATAAAATCCTGTCTCCTTAATATAGTTTCCTGGGGCTGTCATAACAAAATATTATAAACTAAGCAAAATATTACTTCTGCTTAAAATATATTCATAATTTAATAAAACTGAGTACTATATAATAGTAGTCTTAAAATGGAAAAAAAAGAAATAAGTTATATTTGGTAGTAATTATGCTAAAAAAACACAGTATAGTTGACTATAAAATCTTTTTGTTCTACCACATCAGTTTTCTAATGTTAATGCTAAAAAATTTTAAGGTTGAATTGTCAAATAACGTGTGACTTGTGAAGTTTAATTATCTTACCTCCTTTTTTAGTGCACTAAAATATTACAGAATCACACAAATAATTGTTATAGAAAAACAGGGTAGAAATGAAAATGTATATTTGGACAGGACTGCATCCTAAATAAAATTAGTGTTTAAAAGTATTAAATAACCTAGTTGTTTATCTTCCCAAGAATATTTTATTTACATTCTAACTTTCACTATAAGAATTTTCTTAACAATCTCCCCATTTATTTCATACTATTTTTAAGCCTATTTTTTGTTAGTTTTAAAAACAATGCCCCCTTGTGGAGGCTATTCTTCAGGACTTGACAATGGAGACCCAAGTACGATTTTTCTTCCTTCCTTTTTGCCTAGGGAATATATTGTTTCCATTTTGTGTTGGTTTATTTACTCTATTTAAATTTTGTTTTCTTGAACCTTCTGTCCGTTATTTCACTTTTAGAACCTTGAAAAATACTCTTTCAATCAGAGTTTTCTATCTAGTGTTATTGAGTGATATTTTCTTTCTTTTTTTTTTATCCTCACCCGAGGACATTTTTCCATTTTTTTGTTCAGGTAGAGTGGGAGGGAGAGAGAGGAACAGAGAGAGAGAGAAACATCGATGTGAAAGGAACACATCGAGTGGCTGCCACCCGCACAACCGACCAGGGCTGGGGACAAACTGCAACCGAGGTACATGCCCTTTAGCAGGAACCGAACCCGGGTCTCTCAGGACCGCAGGCCGACGCTCCAACTGCTGAACCAAACCGGCCAGGGCGAGTGATATTTTCTTAACTTGTTATAAATATTTGAGGTAATTTGTATACGTGGATGAATTTATTATAATCATGGTTTTTAAAGTATATAAGTGAGCTAACAAAATTATTTCTTTTTTTAACAAATGTTTTTTGGTAGCCCTTTTTTGAAGATACTTCCCTTTTATTAGATTAACTATTAACCCAAAGATTTAATACATCTGTTACGTAATATATTATTGTTACCTTTTACTTAATTTCCTTTTTTTTTTTTTTTCCTTTTCTAGGGGACCTCCGAGCTTGCACATACTGTAGAAAGATAGCCTTAAGTTATGCTCACTCCACAGACAGTAATTCCATTGGGGAAGACTTGAATGCTCTTTCTGATTCCGCTTCCTCAGTGTCTGTCCTTGATCCAAGTGAACCCCGAACACCTGTTGGGAGTAGAAAAGCCAGTCGCAACATATTTTTAGAGGATGATTTTGCCTGGCAAAGGTACTGTCACTTAAATATAATTTTATATCAAGAAATACTGATAGTCTTGTGCCCTATGAGTGCTTTTAGTTACCATTTACTTTCTTTGAATTGTATTCTGCAAATTCCCCATTTCCTCTGTTTTGTTTGGCTTGCCTCCAGAAGGATCACAGAGAATGTGATTATATTGACTAATTAAAATGTGAGTTCTTCAAGAGGAGAGACTTTTATCTTACTCATTCACTGTTCTGTCCCTGGCACCCAGAACAGTGTATAATCTATATATGGTCTTGATAATATTTGTTGAATAGGCAATAGAAATTATTGAGATTAATAATTTCTAATGTAGCTTTATTATGAGAATGCTCATAAGATTTATATTCATAATATTTACAAATGAAGTTAGATTCTTTTTCTTCCTAGGGAACAGTTCACGTTTTTCCATATGTCTAAATATGCTACGCTGCCTGGTAGAGGAGGATGTTACCAACTTTTTCTGGAAGTTACCTGGAATTGTTTGAATTAGAATGCTAGATTTATCAGTTTCTGATTGTTTTCTTTAGCTAAATTACCTGGAATTGTTTGAATTAGAATGCTAGATTTATCAGTTTCTGATTGTTTTCTTTAGATAAATTGTTTTCTTGTGCATAATACCAATCGGGCCATGTTAAAGTTTTTTAGAGTTCTAACTAATTTCTTTCTGATTAGTGATTATATTGATTATCCTTTAAGGGAGTGAGGAATTAGTGTGTAACCAATGAATTTACTTTATTATTATTATTAAAATTTTTAAAAAAATATATTTTTTCTTTATCGATTTTAGAGAGGAAGGGAGAGAGAGAGAGAGAGATAGACATCAATGAAAGAGAAAGAGAACATCAATTGGCTGCCTCCTGCATGCTCTCCACTGGGGATTGGGCCCACAACCTGGGCATGTGTCCTGACCTGGAATTGAACCGGCAACCTCTGGGTGCATGGGTTGACACCCAGCCACTGAGCCACGCCGGCTAGGTTGTAACCAGTGAATTTAAACAGAAGTCAAAATGAATGAATTATAGCTACATTCCACATATATGAATCTCAGGGACATAATGTACATTAGAAAAGGAAGTCACATTTATATCCAGTCGTTTTTTTATTTAAATAATGTTCAAAATCACACAGAGCGAACATACTATCTAGGGATACAAACACGGTTAACTTAAAGAAAAGGAAGACACTGACAAATATAAAATTTACGATGGTAGTTTCATTGAAGGCAGGAAGGGGGATGGCATTGGATGGGAGAACACAAGCACTTGAAATCAGTGGTAATGTTCTCGTAAATTTCTCGATGGTGCATTGGTGTTTGTGGCATGATTTTTTATATGTTACATGTATTTCATAAATTTTAAAGATCAGTTCTACATTTAATAAAAGCATAGGGATTCTTTAGTTCTTGCTTACTTTAGTTATAATGGCTTTTAGCTATACTCAGCCCTTTTGTGTGAGCCCAGAATTGGCAGTGTGTTTTAATAAAACAAATCAAGTTTGAAAACATCCTGAGAGATGTAGGATAGGTAAAAAATTTTAGGTTTTGTGCTAATTGGTTAATGTTCACTGTTTTTTCATCATCTGTGGTAGGCACTACTTTCTCTTCTTGACAGATGTGGATGCTGAGGTTCATAGAGATTAAGCGGTGTACCCAAGGACTCACAGCTAGTGAGAGGTAGAGCCTGCACTTGGACCTAGGTTTGTCTGACTCTGCAGTGCTATTCTCGTGGGTAATGGGGACTGAGAAGAAAATATATGAGCTCAAGACTTTCCCCTGAATCACTTCAATATTGTATTATTCATGTGAGGAGTTCTATAAGTCTTTAATTATTTTAATGGCATTCCATATACTTAATAAATTCTATTATCAGTCTTTTGGTATTTGATATACTTATGACAAAAACCATACTGTTTTCACCTTAAAGGAAGGAAGCAAAAATGACCCACAATCTCTATTACAGGAGAAAACCATCTGCTTTTCAGCATTAAAAGCGTTTCATTGAAATTGGATTTGTCTGTTACTATCCCAAGTCATCTCAAGTTTTTCTTTCTTTCTTTATAGTTTGATTCATCCAGACTCCTCAAATACTTCTCTTTCAGCAAGACTTGTGTCTGTGCAAGAGGATGCTGGGAAATCTCCTGCTCGAAATAGGTAAACTGCCAAATGAAAACACTGTTCTGTGTCTGATTTTTTTCTTTTCATAGTAATGAGAAGAACAAACAGATAAAAATGGGTGGGATTGATTGTTATACACTTTCTTTGATCTGAAATCTGTATTAAACTATCATTTCCCTTTTGCTAGTCAGCCCTCACTTGTATTGTCTGAGTGGTTATTTCCACTATTCTCCACTGGCTTCAGATCCTGGAACTGTACCTTCCTCTTCTACCTTAGCAGATGAACTTAACTTTAGTCAGCTATTAAAAACAACTCCTCCTCTGTGTTTTACCTCTAGTTACCTATATTCCCAATTATTTCTTTTCTTAGCCAAATTTCTTGAGAACAGTGCTTGTAATCATTCTATACTTGCACATGTCCTTCTTTTTTAACTTACTAATGTACACTCCTCCCACTGAAAATGCTTTTCTTTTACAAGTTGAAGTGGTCAATAAGTCATTGTAAACCTGAAGAACTAGACATCTGAATCACCATGGTTTAATGTACTTTCAACAAGTATTATGTATTTAAGTACCTACAAACTAGGTACTTGGAATATAGCAGTGAATCAGACAAAAATTTAAAACACTGAAACACAAGGAACAGGGGTGGAGAGTGGAATGTTAGTGTGGTCATTGAAGACCTCACCGAGAATGTGACATTTGAGCAAGGATCTGAGGATGTGAGGGAATAGCCCTGTGGACATTTTATAGAAAAGTGTACCAAGGAAACGGAACATGCCTGGCAAGGAATAACAGGAGGTCCTGTGTACCTGGACTAGAGCATTTCTACAATTAATTGTAAGGAAGGGCTTTGCCATTTACCCTGGGTGAGATAGGAAGCTACTGGAGAGTTTGAGCTTTTAAAAGTTTTTTAAGAATTATTTTGAATATATTTCAAACTTGCAAAAAGTTGCAAGAGTAATAAAATAAATCTTTATATATTTATACACTGTTGGATTAGATTGCTGAGAGTTTGTTGAGGACTTTTGCATCTATGTTCATGAGAGATACTGGTCTGTAGTTTTCTTGTAATGTCCTTTTTTTTTTTTTAGTTTTAGTGTTAGTGTAATGCTGACCTCATGGAACGAGTTATGAAGTATTCCTTCTGTTTTCTCTTTTGAAAAAGACTGTAGAAAATTAATTTCTTTCTTTCTTTTTTTTTTTTTTTATCCTCACCCGAGGACATTTTTCCATTTTTTGTTCAGATAGAGCGGGAGGGAGAGAGAGAGAGAAACATCGATGTGAAGGGACACATCGAGTGGCTGCCACCTGCACAACCAACCAGGGCCGGGGACAAACTGCAACCGAGGTACATGCCCTTAGCGGGAACCGAACCCGGGTCTCTCTGGACCGAAGGCCGACGCACCAACTGCTGAGCCAAACCGGCCAGGGCTATGTAATTTCTTTCTTAAATGTTTGGTAGAATTCACTAGTGAATTAACTCATTTGGCTTGGTCATGAGCTCCATCAAAGAAATTTATCATTTCTAGCATAGTGTCTTTGATCTCTAGCATTTCTTTTTGAGTCTTAGAATTTTTATCTCTCTGCTTACATTATTTGTCTCTTCTTGCATGTTGTCTATTGTTTCCATTAAAGCCCTTAGCACATAAATCATAGTTTTAAAAAGTTCTTGGTGTGAGAATTCCAACATTTGTGTCATATTCTAAGTCTAATGCTTTGTCAGTCTCTTCAAACTGTGTGTTTTACCTTTTAGTATGCCTTGTAATCTTTTTGTTGAAAGATGGACATGATGTACAGGGTAAAAGGAACTGCAGTAAATAGGCCTTTAGTATTGTGGTGGTAAGGGCTGGAGGAAGGGAATTGGTATGCAGTCTTGAGATTAGGTTTTAGTCTTTTAGTGAGCCTGTGCCTATGCCTGTGAACTATGAACTTTACAAGTGTGTCTGATTTTTTTTCCCCACAAGATGGGACAGGATGGCTGCAGCTTTTTTTTTTTTTAAACAATTTTTAAAAATATTTTTATTGATTTTTTTTTAGAGAGCGAGAGATAGAAACATTGATGAGAGAGAAACATCAACAATGATTAGCTAGCTGCCTGATGCACGCGTTCTACTGGGGATCAAGCTGGAAACCTGGGCATATGCCCTGACTGGGAATTGAACCAGTGACCTCTTGGTGCATAGGTCAGTGCTCAGCCACTGAGCCACACCAGCCAGGCAGCAGCTTTTCTTTATCTTTGCATGGTATTGGTTTTTGTGAAGAGGACAGTGCAGTTATTTAGAAGAATGCCATCAATCTGGGTTTGTCTAATACTTTCTCATGATTAGATTTAGGTTACACATTTTTGGACAGGAATTTATATAAGTGATATATTCCTATTAGTCTATCTTGTCAGAAAGAATATGATGCAAGTTTATCCCATTGTTATTATGGACTAGATCTCTTGATTAAGGTGGGGTCCTGTGTTTCTTCACTGTAAGTTACAGTTTTCCTCTTTTTAATTAATATGTGGGGGAGATACTTTGATACTGTATAAATATTCTGTTCCTTATCAATCTCTCACTCAATAGTTTTAACATCCATTTATGATTTATACTATGATGGTTACAAAATGGTGACTTCCTTAGTTCATCATTTCTTCTACATTTATTAGTTGACATTCTACTGTAAAAAAGCTTTCTCTTACAGAAGAGTTTTGAGTGGGGAGTTCAGGAGGATTACATGAACTGAATTACATTTTGAAAGAAGAATTCTGGCTGCTCTGTTGAATAGATTGTAAGGCACAAGAGTAGAAGCAGAGAGACCACTTTGAAAGCTGGTTGAATAATCCAGGCAAGATAATTGACTCAGGTCAGAGCAGGAGAAGTGGGGGTGGATGGTCGGATTCTAGATATATTTTGATTTTAGTGTTAACAGGATTTGCTAAACAGTTGGAGGTGTGAGATGACTCAGGTTTTTGGCCTGAGTGGTTAGAAGGATGGAGTTATCATTTATTGAGATGGGGAAGACTTTGAGGAACAGTTTGGCTTTAGACATGTTGAGTTTGAGATACCTTCTAGACATTCAAATGAGATATCAAGAGTTCAGGAGAGAAGTACAAGCTGGAGATATAAATTTGAGTGTTGTCATCATGAGAATAGTATTTCAAGCTGTGAACCAGGATGAAGACCATCAAAAGAGTGAGTGTGGAAAGTGAGGAAATAAGGACCAAGGACTGAGGTTGGGGAGACAAAGAGGAACCAGAAAAAGTGTCTGAGAAGGAGAGAACAGTGATGAGGCGAGAGGAAAACCTGGAAAGTGTGTTGTCTTAGTAGCTAAGTGAAAACCGTTTTTCAAGGAAGGAAGTTCTGCTGCTGATATGTCAGGTAAGATGAGGAATGAAATCTGACCATTGGATTTAACACTAATGTTGTTAACCTTGATAAGGCAATTTCACTGGTTCCTTTGGGGTTCAGGAGAGATTGGAAGAGAATTGGAGATAGGAGTTTTGATATAGTAAAGGAGGGAAATGCAAAGGGATGTGGAGTTGAGACAGTTTTTCGAAAGATGGGACAAATACAGTATTCCTCGTGGCCTATGCACAAATGTAGTGATAGCTGTGATAGTGTACAGTATGTCTTCGCGGGGTTGGAATTAATGCTAAGATTGATGTGAGTCTTTAGGAAAGATGTAATTTAGTAAGTGAGGACTACCTTTAAGTAATATTTTAGCTTCATTTCAGCATTCTTGCTACTGGGCTACTTATTAGACTATTTGACAACAAAATGGACTAATTTTCTTTTATTCCTGTTGCCACTGTCAGAATATGTGTAGGGATGGTTAGAATGTTAGAGAAGCAGAATGCCTGGGTAAAGCACACATTGGAAAAGAGAGTTTAGTTAGTTGAATAAGACATAGTGGCAACTTTTCACTAAAAAAATTCCTGGAAATGAATAACTGATTATTTAAAAAATTTTGCTTATGTACTTTTATTTGATGTCAGTGGTTTCTTATTAACCATTAAGAATGACTTAAAGCTAACCCTGTTACAAGCCTGTGCGTAATTTAAAAATTATTTTAAAAGTATCTTTATGCTTTTTTTTAAAAAAATATATGTCTTTATTGACTTTAGAGAGAGAGGAAGGGAGAAGAAGAAAGAGATAGAAACATCAATGTGAGAGAGAAACATTGACTGGCTGCCTCCTGCACTCCCCTTCCTGGGGATTGAGCTGGCAACCCCGGCATGTGCCCTGACCGGAATCAAACCTGTGACCTCATGGTGCACGGGACAGTGCTGTGGGCAGAAGTATCTTTATCTTCATGCTGGTTCGAGTGAGACCTGGTTTTGAATGGCAGCCGCTATTTATTAGCTGTTACCTGAGATAAATTACTTAATCTCTGATTCTTGACTATTTTTATCTGTAGAATGGATCTAGTAGTATCTACTCCATAGGATGCTGTGAGGATTAAATGAGGGAAGATACGTATATTGCTCTACTGAATGAGTATATAGTGTCTACTACATCACAGATGTGTCTGCCTTTTATTCTTTATATGGAAGCCAGAATTGATTTTTTTTCTAGGTAGACGCTAACTAAATTTTTAGCTATTTTTTTAAAAATAAATAAAAGCTTGCTCAGTGCTATTGATATTCCACTTACAAGTCATTTATGTGATGACTTTGCCAAGAAGCAAAATTAAGGATATTATGTGAATACTCATACAGTTAGAGGGGGGAACTGATTTTCACTATCTTTTTTATTGATAAAATTAAAAAGCTTTAATTTTTTTTCTGTAATCTTTCCATAACAACTTTCTTTTAAACTTATTTTGAAATAATTTTAGACCAACATAGAAGTTGGAAGTATAGTACAGAGATTTCCGGATGCTCTTCTCTCAGCCTCCCCCAGTGATAACATCATACATAATCATCATGACTACTTTTAAAAGTACCCATAACGTTGGCAAATAAGCATTTATTTAAAAATGAATTTTCATCTGTAATTCTATTTATTGATGATGAATTTACAACTGTGTTTTCACTTTTTGTTTTTATTTCCAGATCAGCCAGTATTACTAACCTGTCACTGGATCGATCTGGTTCTCCCATGGTACCTTCATATGAGACATCTGTCAGTCCCCAGGCTAACCGAACATATGTTAGGACAGAGACCAATGAGGACGAGCGCAAAATTCTTCTGGTACTGGTCCAGTGTTTTGACCCATAGCTAGTTTTGAAAATAAAGAATGTTTTTCTCTCTGATTTCTCTTTCTTTCTTTTTTTTGTTAACCCTCACCTGAGGATATTTTTTACATTGATTTTTTTAGAGAGAGTAGGAGGGAGGGAGAGGGAGAGAGAGAGAAACATTGATGTGAGAGAGAGACATCAATTGGTTGTCTCCTGCATGACCCCGACTGTGGCTGGGGATCGAACCTGCAACCCAGGTACATGCCCTTGACTGGGAATTGAACCTGCGATCCTTTGGTGTTTGGGCTGATGCTATAACCACTAAGCCATACCAGCTAGGGCATCTGATTTTTCTTTTTTAAAGAAACACAAAAATGAAATAGCCAGTTAGCATATAAATTACATAGGGGAAATAATTAGCTTAAGTTATTAGCATCACTTGAAAAATTGGTCAAGCATTCCATGTTCATATTTTGCATTAATATTTTCTTAACCCCTTTCATCTAGTGAGATCATAATTCAGGTGCCGACGTAATAAGAGAGCTTAACTTTTAATTAGGTTCCAGATTGCTCTTTAAACTTTAAAACATGTTTCTCATATACATGGAATGCCTTTCAGACATTTAATATTATATGTTTATATGAGATAATAATCAGTTGTTTATTGAATTTATCTATGTGTAAAATACTATGTTTAATCCTAAGAGTGACTCAAAGAAGTGGAAGATATGGCATCTTTTCTCAAGCTTGCAATTCAAAGGTAGATAAGAGGTTAATGGGCAGGTCCTTAACAGTAAAAGAAGTAATAATTTAATTATAAAGAATAGAAAGATCATTAATAGTGAGGGAGTCAGGAAAGACCCTAAACTGAAAGGCTTGGACTGGACCTTACAGGATGGGTTGGATTTGGGTAGGCAGAGGGGAAAGCAAACCTTATTTAAAGGTGTGAGGAAAGGTAAAGAGGTGAGAATAAGCGTGGCATTGTTCATGCGCTGAAGTAGGGTTTATTAACTGGGAGAGGTCGGGAGCGAGATTAAGTTGGAGTCTGTGGGCAGTGAGAATGGAAAGTTATTTGGAGCCAACTGGTGGAAGGTGGTGAATTCACTTCTTACAAGTTTAGATTTGAACCTGTAGGCACTGAGCAACACTGGAAGTTTTTTGAAAAGGGAGTCATTCATTGAAGGCCTTTTTTTTAGGAAGATTCACCTGGCAGTTGGGCATAGGTGAGAAGGCTACTAGAAACGTTTACTGTAGATCAGTGTTGTTGGCAGTTCAGTCCCTCTCCTTTGCCCTGTCTCCAGAGAGGAGTATGAAATTTTGTACCTCGATAACTAGGAGACTGATAACGTGCCATTGACTGAAAACACTTATTTGGGATGGTTGATTTTGTGGGGGAGGTGAAAGTGGGGGGTAGTTGGTTTTCAAGAGAAAAAGTTATGTTTGGAATTAGATGAGCTGAGTTGAAGCTGGTCCCTATGCAGGTGTCATTTCTGTTGTGTAAATTAGCCATACAAAGACATCTGAGTTTATTTCTCCTTATTAATCTAAAAATCACAAGAAAGAATCTCAAAAGGTCTGTAGCATCCTACTCAGGAGTAATTACTTGCTGATAATGTGACTGCAGGACAGCGTTCAGTTAAAGGACCTGTGGAAGAAGATCTGCCATCACAGTAGTGGAATGGAGTTTCAGGACCACCGCTACTGGCTGAGAACGCACCCTAACTGCATTGTAGGGAAGGAGCTAGTCAACTGGTTAATCCGAAACGGACACATTGCTACAAGGTAATGCAGTCTTAAGAAAGAAAGACTTTTTAATATTTTTTATTAATTTATTTTTAATGAGGACACATTGTTGTAGATATGAGGGGAGCAATGTTCTGTGTGAGTAGGATTTGTTTTCTGCATTTGGTATGTGGGTGCTAATTAGTCAACCCTCTTTCTTTCTGGGTTTTAACCAGTAGAGAATAGATGCAAAGAACCAGCTGGGGTCACAATTTACCTAATTTATTAAAAGCAGAAGTGTGCAGTAATTTCCCAAACACAGAGTTCTTTAGTTAAGAGGATTGGGGAATATAATTAGACCCTGAGACCACAGTGGCTTCTCTTGCTACTGTTCCCTAATCTGGACATTGCACTCTGTCTTGAGAATTGGGTCCACAAGCTATACCTGGAATATCCTAGAGATGTTGAAATCTCACAACTCATTTGTAAAAAAGAGAGAGACAGGTCCTGTTGCCTTTCAAGGTAACATGTTCCCTATCTTTTCTACTTGCTCGGATTAGTTCCTTTTGCTCTCATAGGAAGAAACAAGTATGTAAGGAAAGAGAACAGCTTTAAGCAGTGAAGCTCTGGGCTCCAGTTTTGGTTATATCTCTTTTTAACTGTGTGCTTTTAGTCAGGTTATTCAGTGTCATTGAGACTGGACCTGTCAGTTCTAATAAGGGGAAAATACACAGTTCTGTGATGAAGCCATGAGAATGAGATGAGATAATATGGCTAAAGTGCTTGATACATTGTGAAATGCCATATAAATGCAACGTGTTACTAAGTGTCTGTGTAGGTACAAAATGCATGTACATAATGTATTGATATCTACAATATTTGGTATTGTCTTCTCATCAAGACTATAAGCTCCACGAGCTGGAGTCATGCTATGCTCAATGTCTTTTGCACTCCTTTTGTAAGTGCAGGGGCGTGCATGCATTGAGTACTTCAAAAATGCTAGAATTAAGTTTTGTTAGGACTGCTTTACCGCTAGGTTCTCCTATACTGTGGTACCTGGAAATTTTTTTTAAAATCCTCAGCTGAGGACATTTTTCCATTTTTTGTTCAGATAGAGTGGGAGGGAGAGAGAAGAAATGAGAGAGAGAGAGAGAGAGAGAGAGAGAGAGAGAGAGAGAAATATCGATGTGAAAGGGACACATCAAATGGCTGCCACCTGCACAACCCAACCAGGGCCGGGGACAAACTGCAACTGAGGTACGTGCCCTTAATGGGAACCGAACCTCGGTCTGTCTGGACCACAGGCTGATGCTCTAACCGCTGAGCCAAACCGGCCAGGGCCCTGGAAATTTTTTAAAAATTTAACTCTAAGTTTCTGTTGTTTTACCCCCTCACCTATTCAAGGACCATTTGAAATTCCAACTCTGATTAGAATGGAACAAAAATTCAGTTTGTGTCTCATATTGTACCTGTAAAATTATTCTGGCTGATGTACCTGTAAAGCTATTCTGACTGACTTTTAGAAGTTTTCCTTTTCATTGGTCTTGTTGCAGGGCGCAGGCTATAGCAATTGGACAAGCAATGGTGGATGGCCGTTGGCTGGACTGTGTCAGTCATCACGACCAGCTTTTCAGGGATGAGTACGCACTGTACAGACCCCTGCAGGTACTGTCCGCGCTGCCGCTCCCGGGAATGTCGCTAGTTTGGTGAGGGGTCTTTCTTCATCAGCAGGAGTGAAAAGTAGTTGAGCTACCCAAAGATACATTTCTCTAACATGTTTTTTCCTTGCTGTTTGAGGAAAGTTAAAACATTATTTTTACTTGATACGTGGTGATATTTAAAAAAAAAACTTGTTGGAATCACAGTATTCAGTTGGTGTGGTTTTTCTTAGCCTTGTGGTGTTATAGTTGCTTGTCATTTACCTTCCGTGGTTCTCAGTTTTACTGTGTCTGTGTTTTTAGGGCTAAGAGGGAGTATACATAACAAAATGATTGAAAAAATTTAATGTCACCATTGCAATAGGTATTGATGCATTAGCAGTATTCAATTGTACAGCAATGAATTTTTTTTTTTTTTTTTACACTTAGGGAAGTGGGAATTATTTAAAGATAGAACTTTGAAAAAAAGATATATTTCTCCCTGGCCAGGTAGGTCAGTTGGTCAGAGCATCATCCCTATATGCCAATGCTGTGGGTTCAATCCCCGATCATGGCATATACAAGAATCAACCAGTGAATGCGTAAATAAGTGGAACAACAAATTTCTCTCTCTCTCTTCCTTTCTAAAAGGAATATATAAATTAAAAAATTTAAAAAAGGATATATGTTCACTTTTGGTTTATATTAATTTGATATATGTACTGTTCAGTAACACCTTTATAAATTGAAACTGGAAAATGATTGATTAGAAAGGACAAATGACTCAAAAGACTGGTGTGGTGTTATTGGTTAAAATCTAAAAGTTGTTTTCCAGGATTCGCTCTAGCATTGGCACAGAGTTAGAATACCAAGACACATTCACTCTCAGGATCAAAGGATGAAATGAAACACTATAAGATCTGCATACTATGTTTTGTTTATAACGTGCTGCCTCAACCCACTGATTAATGAAAGTTACAATTTTAAGAGTGGAATTGTTAGCATGATGTTGGTTTACAACTTAGTTGCTGTTAACTTATTTTTATATAAATGTATTCAGTGCTTATCTTTGTAGAAATATTGGGTTAGAATTTGTAGTGTGGCAGCCTCATCGTTGCTGCTATTGAAGGTGAATTGCTCAGATCCTGTGTATTGATCCTTGCAGAGTACGGAATTTTCCGAGACCCCTTCTCCAGACAGTGACTCAGTGAATTCTGTGGAAGGACACTCTGAGCCATCCTGGTTTAAAGACATAAAGTTTGATGACAGTGACACAGAACAGATAGCTGAAGAAGGTGACGATAATTTGACTAGTGAGTTTAACTTTTTAACATTTTAGTTTTTGTGACTCATTACTGTATATGTATGATAAAATGAATGTTTTGTTTGTTTAGTTGAAATGATCCTACTTTAAGATTTAGGGCTCCAACTAAATATAAACATCTGATAGCAATTCTTGTCCTAGATACAGTATTTTCTTAAGAAACCTACTTGTTAGGCTACTGGCGTTTTTAGATTTTGCCATAGTCTCTAGTTGCAGCAGCTTAAAAATAACTCTGAGCTAATATCACAGCCGACAACTTTCTCACCTCTTCACTATGATATCAGACTTTCTGCAGAACCTCCAGTATATTTCTTCATTTAAAAAACCCATTTCATATTAAACTTGATCAAATTTTATTAAGTCTACACAGAAGTACATGAAAATACTGTATCCATTTTGGTATTGCACATTGGGCTTGTGTATTAAAAAAACATTTTTCTCCTTTCCTCCAATACCCTGATGAAACCCATTTTTTACTCCCCTCCTCTCCCTATATTTCTTTCCCCTTGCCAACACTAAAAGATTCTGCCAGTCCTAGCAAGCGCACCTCAGTCAGCAGTTTCCAGTCCACAGTGGACAGTGACTCAGCTGCATCTATCAGCCTGAACGTGGAGCTGGACAACGTGAACTTCCATATCAAGAAGCCCTCCAAGTACCCACATGTGCCCCCTCACCCTGCTGACCAAAAAGGTAGGAGGTAGTCACCATCTGGAATCCAAACGCAGGCTGGAGAGCTGGGCCGTAGGATCTCGTGCCAGCTGGTCCCTCTGGCTTCCTCTGTCCCGTATGGCTGAGGGGATTCGGTGTGGGTTTAGTCCACCCTTTCTCGTTTTCCCCACACCTTTTTTGGTTGGTTCCTTTTATTTCTTGTCTTTTCCCTCCGTACCACCCCACCCAATTTAAAGGAGCTACATCTGACTGCTCTTCCCTTAATGTGCAACTTCCAAGGTGGTATTTCTTTGCATTTATAACATGGATGTTCTGCTCTATTCATTTCGCTATCTTCATTTTACACTTTAAAGCCTGTGCTTATGCTGTTACCCAGTAGCTTGTTTCCCTTCTCAGAGACTTGAACTAGATGGTGGGAGAGATATTCACCTATTCCAAAACATCTTCCTACTATAATTTAAAATGTTTTTTTATTTATACGCTATATTTATGAAAAAGCTTTCTTCTCTACAAAACGAGTTCATTCTTCATTTTTAGCTATCTTATTTGAGACTTTAATCTACTAACTCAAAAATAATAGTGGCCGTATTAAAAAGAAATTTGGTATAAAAGGAAAAATAAGGTAAACTGTTACTAAACTCTAACAACATACCAGTACATAAGAAATGAAATGCTTTTAAAAAGTGGGTGAAGCCCTGGCCGGTTTGGCTCAGCGGTTAGAGCGTTGGCCTGCGGTCTGGAGAGACCCGGGTTCGGTTCCCGCTAAGGGCACGTACCTTGGTTGCAGTTTGTCCCCGGCCCTGGTTGGTCGTGCGGGTGGCAGCCACTCGATGTGTCCCTTCACGTCGATGTTTCTCACTCTCTCTCCCTTCCTCTCTCTCCCTCCCATTCTATCTGTACCAAAAATGGAAAAAATATCCTCGGGTGAGGATAAAAAAAAAAAAAAAAAAAAAAATGTATTTAGCCCTGGCCAGTTTGGCTAAGCGGTTAGAGCGTTGGCCTGCGGTCCGGAGAGACCCGGGTTCGGTTCCCGCTAAGGGCACGTACTTCGGTTGCAGTTTGTCCCCGGCCCTGGTTGGTCGTGCGGGTGGCAGCCACTCGATGTGTCCCTTCACGTCGATGTTTCTCTCTCTCTCTCCCTTCCTCCCTCTTCCTCCCTCCCACTCTATCTGTACAAAAAAAAAAAAAAAAAAAAAAAAAAAAAAAAAAAAAAAAAAAAGTGGGTGAAGAGGTTTACTTTTTTGGATGTAATTAAAAGCCAATTTAAAGCTTAGTGCTAAAGTAGCATTATGTAAAAGTAAATACATAAAGTAAATAAATAATTGTGGGATTTATTATATTGTTATAACTGAAAAATCATTATTATAAAGATAAAATGATTTCTAGAGTGTGAATTTTTACTATTTAGCTCTTAAGCTGACTTGCCTCCTCAGATTAGAAATGCCTGCCTAATTCTTTGCTACTCCCTATTGTGAGCCTAAATATATGACCAGAAAAGAGAAGCTTTTGAATTTAAACAATGAGGCTAACGTAATTGGAAACATTCACATTTCTATAACAAATTTCTCACGATTGTCAATATTAACCATTATCATCAAGACATGGTAAAATAGCATCTGCATTACTTTAATAAAAAGTTGTATCTTATTTAACAATAGAAATTTAGAGAGGGTATGGGAAAAGAGGAGACTTGAGCAGCACTGACCTTGAGTAAGATACTCATCTTTATGAGAACCTTCAAAACAGAAATTGGAAACACGGTGGAGAACATTTGGGTGAGTATAGAAGGACAGTGAAGCAGATGTGACAGTTGTGTGAGAATTAACTGGAGACTGTAGTCGCGTGGAGGATATTTGACGATGCCTTTGTGATAGAAATTACAGAGGTGGGATGTGTTGTGATGGAGGCTGTCTTTCTCTGGACACATCTGTTAGCAATTTCAGCTTGCTGAAAGTAGAGCTCGAAATCTGTTTTTGACTTGCTGATTTCACCTCTTGGAAAGTTAAGAAGGTTCTGAAAATCATGAAGAAAGTGACCTGTCATCACAGAAGTCATTGCAAAAGATGGATTGCTGAGCACAGTCAGACATTGCCTTAGGAAATCTAACTTCATAGTGTTGGGAGAGGACCAGAGCAGGAGGTTCCAGCAGTGACGTTTTCACAGTCCAACCTCAAATGTGTCTCTAAGGAAAGTTAAAGGGAAGAACCTGCAGTTGGAAAACCATCACGGCTCTTCTGGAACCTCTCTGATCCCAGTCCTTTAAAAAGACTGTCTACGGAAATTGTACGAGGCGATGTTCATATGAGGATGAATCTGAAGGAGGGAAGGAGTCAGCACTTAAAAAAATGGCAGGAGAACAGAAGTCCCCGAAGGAGGGAGTAAATGCCAAGGATATCTTAGAAAAGGTTTTAAGAATTGTGATGCCAAAAAAAAAAAAAAAAAAAAATTAAGCCGGTTATTTGGGGAACTTGATATAATTAATATTAATTGAGCCCCCCTTCCCCCCACAAGATAACCTTATCAGGAAAGAACACACATAGTTAAGAGGAAAGTGAAGTTCAAGATAATGGAGAGATAGAGAATGCCTGGTTATTTTGCATAAGTTCGTTGCCAGTTCAGACTAACTATATACCAGATTACTGAAATAATTTGCATCTGTGATCATTGGGCCATAGTTTATCGTTGAAGAATTGTGGAGAATAGGAGGGAGTTTAGATGACGGTAATGATAGATGAATTAAATTTTTTAAAAGATAGGTTTTTGATGTGACATTGGAAGTTGGCTAAAGTGCAGAAAAATGTAATGAACAGAATGTACTGTAGTATTTAGAAAAGGGCACCAGCACTGGTAAACTAAAATAAGTCCTTCTAGCCCAGGCCTGGTGGCTCAGTTGGTTGGAGCATTGTTTCATACACCAAAAAGGTTGCAGGTTTGATTCCTGGTCAGGGCATGTACCCAGGTTGTGGGTCGGTCCCCAGTGGGGGGGGTGTGTGGGAGGCCATTGATTGATATTTCTCTTTCACATCGATGTTTCTCTCTCTCCCTTCTTTTCTCTTGAAAATCAACAACAACAAAAAAATCCTCTGGTGAGGATTAAAATATATAAATAAAAAATAATATAAGCCATTCTGAAACAACTTTATTTCCATATTTTATGGTGATATGAAATTTGTAGATCAGAAGACTGTGATAGACATACTGTTGTCTTATGTTAATGAGACATTTGATGGTCTCTCAATGACCATTTTTCACTTGGTACTTACAGGCAGTGGTCATATTTTCTTGTTACAAGCAGAGGCTCTAATGTCTCTGTGAGCCTCTTTATGTTAAAAACATTAAAAGCTTAATGTGTTTGGCAAATGTCAGGACCACTGTTAATATAACACATGGATTTGAAGTTTGTTTAATGGTTGTACCAAATATTGCAAGAGTAATTAATAATTTGAAGTCAACAGGAAGAGGATGTTTCAACAACATTTTTTGGTCAGTATTTTGAATGTTTTTCAGAGTTAAAAATCATTAAAATAAAGAAAGAATAGCCAGCATGTTAGACAGCAGGACTGGAATTTAAAGATCTTTACTTAAGCAGTAGATTGAGCCTAACAAGATAAAATTTAATACAATTAGGCTTAAAAAGTTTACTATTAATACTGTGGAGAAAGCCATTCTTAATAGCTCATGTATTGTCTTCAAGAACCTGAAGAACAGGGGAAAGAAATTATGTTTATTTTCCATATGGCTGAAGGAAAAACGAAGTTTAGTAGTAGTGAGCTTTGCTGCTGGCCCCAGGAGTATCTAGGTGGTATCTGAATGTCCACCTTTCAGGGTCGTTGAGAGCCTAGGTAGACTCAGTGACTTCTAAGTTTGCTTTTAATTCTGAATCTGTGAAATGAAAAATCGAGATCTAGAATTTTAAAAGAATTTGTAAGGAATCTTTTAGCCGCCTCATTAAGATATAATAGAGGAGGTTCCAGCACCAGAAGGAAGGTAATTATTAGATTGAGCTCTTGGGTCATTTGCAATCTTGAGAGTCTATAATTTAAATACTTTATAAATTCCTTAATAAATGTTTCTGACTTTCACAGGTTTCTTGTTAGCATTTAGCATACTGACAAGAATTATTTTTTTATTTTTCTTGTGAAGTTGAAGTTCAGTAATTGATATTTTTCTGCGTTGTGGTTAAGATAAACACTGATTACCAGAAAGTAACCACCAGTGATCTAGTAGTGAAGTGAAATAATAGACTTCTCCTGCCTCTTTTTTATTCCTCTTAAAATGCAAACGGAATGGGTGGTTTTACTCTTTCCATTGAAGTTAAAGGTAATAGTTATTAAATCTTTTCTTCCTGATTGTCTTCTGTCTTCTAAGGTTGAAGAAATTTGGATTTATAAAATTGGTTGAAATATTTGCACTTAAAAAGTCTGCTGTTTTTAATTTTCTGTAAGCAAACCCCTTATTTTTAGAAACTTGTGAAAAAGACAGTGTGATCTGGTTTGATTAGTGTTTCACTGTTGGTCTTGGAGGGGGTTATACAATGAAAAGAAATGTGTTTTATTCTGTGTTGTAAGCAGGATTCGGAAGCATTCTTGGAAAGTTAATGAGTGAGAACCTGGAGAAGAAAGTGAAAATCATGGCTTCCATAAGCCTGTAGATCTAACTTCCTCTTTATAGGAAAACGTGAGGTATAGGAGCAAGTCAGATAGCACCATGAGGAAACAAGTGATCAAATTCAGAATGTGGGCCTTCCACAGGACATTTGGCCTGGGTTCTTTCAAAATTCAGTGTGTGGAAAAGGTAGGGGGTCTGCTGTAGACGAAAAAGATGAGACTGCCATGTATGAACCTTATTGGATCCAGGTTTGAGGGGAAGAAAATACTAAAGCATTTTAGGGACAGTTAGAAAAATTTGAATATGGATGAACTAGATGATATTGAGACATCGAAAGTAATCTTAAATGTGTAAATGGTATTGTAGCTATAGAGAAGAATGAATGCCCTTATTTTTTAAGAGATGCATGCCAAAGTATTAGTGGTAAAGTGTATGATATGTGTAACTTCAAATGGTCAGGGAAAAAGACCACACCTGTATGTATAGAGAAATCATATTTGGGCAAATTGATAATAATTACTGAATCTAAGTGGAGGGAATACAGGATTTTCTGAATGTTTGAAAGTTTTTCATAATATTTATATTCATATTTAGATATGAATTTAATACACACACACACATACATAGGGTGTCCCCAAGAAATGTAAACACGGTGTCTGTAGATTCTGTTACATTTTGAAAATGAAAGGTATTTTAATAAACGCTGGCTTAGTAATTATTCAAAGTTGTGTATATATATGCTTTATTATGAAGAGTATAGCTTTTAAAGCCAGTACAATACTTGAACAAACAGAAATTGGCATTATTCATTTTTGTGAGGGAGGTGTAGGAATAAAGTGTTAACATTTATTTTTACTTGTCTATATTCTTCATTTTATTGTATTTGGCATGGCACACTTGAATTTTCTAAGTAAAATTTTTTCTCCACTTTCTTGCTAGAAGAATGAGCATATTGGCTTATAAACATTGACTTTTGAAGTCCATTTGTTTATCAGTGAAATCTACTTGGAGAGAATGTTGTGGAGAATCAATACTGTAAAGCATCAATTTTCAACTGGTGTGCTGCAAGAATTTTTAAAACGTTCAATACATGAAAAGAGGCCACTGACCTCTTTTCCCTTACATTGTCAAATACAAAAAATGACAATGGCCAACACAACAGTAGCTGTGCAGTGTGAATTAATAAAAATTTCAGCTATTTTTTGGTCAGATCAGCAAAAAATATATATTTTTTTGTACTACAGAACTTGAGTAATTAGTTTGTGTGCACCATGAAATTAATAAGGTTGAAAATTGCTGCCTTAAAGGACTTGAAATGCATTGTGGTTTAATTTGCATGGAAGGAAGAACCCCACTTAAGCTGTGTGTGGTCACTGACCTAGAGAAAAGTTCATGGGGAAGTAGAGGATAAGTTTCACTTGTAAGAAACAAATTTAATATTCTAAAGATTCTAAAAGAGCTCATCATGCTGTTTGCAGCAGTTATTGCAACCAACCACTTAGCAGTGTTGGGTTAGGATTTTTGTAAAACTAAAACTCTAATTAAAAAACTAAAAGGAATCCTGATGAATTATAGCTTTATTTCCTCCAGTGTTACTTTTGTATTAACTTATTTTATAGCTTATATTGTGAAATGAATAAAACACCATGTATTATTCTATTAAGTGGCTTCTCATCTGTGAACTACCTGTGTGTAGACAAAGTCATTATTTGTTAAATAATGCAGTTATACATGAGAAAAATTATGTAACTTTGTAGGCTTGTCATGTAAATTACTGAAGATTCCAAGTTCCACAAACCAGTTCAGTTTTGATAAGGGAAAGACCTGTTAACGGGGTATTATCTAACATTAGTATTTCATGGTTCTGGTGAGTTATTAATTCAAGTCTATTAAGTTTAGTATGAAGTGTGTGAAACAAGTTTAAAGACAAGTATTACCTAAAGCTTTCTTGAATTGGCTGGGCAGTGATGGGTTTAGTATGAGTCATACTTTGTGTGTGGGTGTGTTCTCTGTATAATTGTGCTAGCATGTCATGAGTCTCTGTCTTCCTTCTCTCTCTCTCCTGGTATGCAGAGTATCTGATTTCTGACAGTGGAGGACAACAGCTCTCAATAAGTGACGCCTTCATCAAAGGTAATTTTATCAAAAACTGTATATACAATGGTGTATATTTTGTTCATGAGGATATACTTGGGCCTAGCACATTGATTGGCAGAGTAGGTACTGAAAATATATATTGAGTCTTGTAGTATCATCACAACACAATTTTTATGTATAGTAATTTGAGAATGTCAAGAACATATTCTTGGACTTGGTTTGAGAGAAGGTCTGTGATCTGAAAAGTAATTCTTTAAAAGGCTTTAAAGTAGAATGTGAATTGTATTCTTTAAAAGGCATAAATAACATACTTTCCTAGAGCATGTCCTTGGCTGTGGTTGGCAAATGGCACTTAATTGGATTTCTGCTGTCATCTCCCTGAGTAGGGTGACTTAAGCTATTTACCCTCTGGTTGGGGAGGAGAGGTGCAAACCACTTACTCTTGAGTGTCCTTGGTTTAGGGAAGGTAGGATTTACTAGGTGGCTGCAAACTGCTGTTTATCTATCTGTCTTAGTTCTCCATTCTGCTTTCCTGGAATTTTCCTAGCTTCTTACTATTCTGTAACACATTGGTAATCTCTAAATCTCTAAGTTGATGGTGTAAAACATGACAATAAGTATAATTTCTCATTTTATACTTAGAATCCTTATTTAATCGTCGAGTCGAGGAAAAATCCAAAGAGCTGCCTCTCACACCTTTGGGCTGGCATCATAACAACCTGGAGCTGCTGCGGGAGGAGAATGGAGAGAAGCAGGCCATGGAGAGGTTGCTGTAAGGCAGTGAGCTTTTTATTTTAATTTTCCATTTTTATAATCTTCAATGACTTGGCAGGCATATGTGTAGTTCTTTTTCTTTATAAAGTCAAAAATGGAATTTTTTATATAACAAGAGTTCTAAACTGTGCTTGTCTGTCCCAGCTGTAATCTGTGTGTTAAAATTTGTATCAAATTAAAGGGGTTATCTTAATTGAGGATATTCACAATTTTCTTTATGTGCAAATTATTAAGGTGCAGGTATAATGGAAGAATAAAATTGACCATGCAGCTCTTACCTGTGAGCCTTAATTTATATGCTTATTTCTTTGTTGGCTATTTATTGTAGCTTCAAAATTATTGCCTCTGGCAGCATTAACTTTGCAAACTTCTTTTTTGTAACATTTTTGTAGTTCAGCTAATCACAACCACATGATGGCACTACTCCAGCAGTTGCTCCATAGTGAGTCATTGTCATCGTCTTGGAGGGACATCATTGTATCACTAGTCTGCCAGGTTGTTCAGACAGTCCGGCCTGATGTGAAGAACCATGATGATGACATGGATATCCGTCAGTTTGTCCACATCAAAAAAGTGAGCTCTGCTGCTAATGCTTTTCTAATGCTAGGAACTGTGAAGGGCCCCGTTATAATTTGTCTCTCAATGGTGACCTAAAAGGGTCATTATCGGAGAAGTCTAATCCGTGACTTCAGTGAACTGGTTGTGTTCTGATTAAAGAATAATGCTTACAACTTCATATTGTCAACATAAGGGAAATCATGTCTCTATTTGAATTTATTGTATCATTTGCCATGCAATATAATACCATAAATACGCTAGTACATGCCTATATAACAATATGTGGCATGAATTACATGTAATATTTTTTTCTGAGTTGGTTATAAAGCACATTTGGAAACCAAAATTAACCAGATGACTTTATTATGCAGTTGGATTGATGTAATCCAAGGTTAATTACATAATATTTCACACGTGGCTGTGACAGAATACATATGATCTTCCAAGATTTATCAGCTGAGCTGAAATGGAGATCTTTTGAAGAGGTAATCAAAGTGGATTGTAAGCGAGAACATCTTCCAAGCTGGCTTTTCTCTGCTTAAATGAGAGTCTGTTTTCATGTCCTGAGACTTCTAGCTTAAATACTCAAATGCCACTTTTACCAAGTTCCTTTGAGAGAACAGATATGCTCTAGAGGATTTTTTACAACAAAACAAAACAATCATTGCCCTGAAAAGCATCATGAGTATTGGTGAGTTAATCCCCTTTGTGTTCACAAAAGCCTCCAATTTTTGGTATCTAATTGCTGGGAAACAACAGATAATAAAATGCACTCATCAAACCAAAAGAAAAAATAAAAGGCCCATTACCATGAGGGGTGCTAGGTGGGGAGGGGGCGGGTTTTCTGTCTGCTCTATTTGTAAGCAACACACTCAGAGGGCATGGAAGCCAATCAGGAAGTGAGAGGTGAACAGTACAGGGAGTTGGTTGTGGGATGAGTTGGGGACCCAAACAAATATAATTTCTTGTTTCCTCTTCTTGATGTGTCATCCCTGAGAAGGCCCATTTTCAGATTACTGTGACTGTTCTGAAGAAAAGCAGTGGGTAATTACCTAATTTAGATCATAGTGGGGTCCTGTATGTATTTATTACCAATGGTGTTTAACTTAATAGTGGTTTTGATTGCTGAGTGGCACTGATTTGTTCAGTCAGATGGGTGTTTTAGGGTTCCAGAGAGTTCCCTGGAGAGTGGGAGGTATGAAATAGACAGTTGTGCTAGATGCCATTAGTTTCTGGTTGAAAGGAAGAACTATGTCCTGAAACTTTCTGTTCTGATTGTAGTATATAATAGATGAAATAAAAGCTGGAAATAAATAATAGCATCTGTCTGACTGGAGTTTAAGGATGTATTGAATTTTACTATTTTCTTGTTTCATCAGATCCCAGGTGGAAAGAAGTTTGATTCTGTGGTTGTCAATGGATTTGTTTGTACCAAGAATATTGCACATAAAAAGGTAACGTGATTCTGTTCAGCAGTGAAGTTAGCCAGCTCCAGCTTTGCCAAGCTGATAAGTGGTAGTACCCTAGTCATGGATAAAAGGGGAATGTGTACTGAGGAGCAACTTAGCAGTGTCTGCCATCGAGGCGAAATTATGGAGGTTCAGGGAAGGTCTCCCAGAGCCAGTGAGGATTAGGATTTGGACATGGAATTCATCAGGAGAAAGAAGGAAGAGCGAGAGAGGTTCAGGCTTCCAGACCAACACAGTGAAGGGATGCTGGCATCATTTCTCCCCTGACCCTGCCTCATCTCAGAGACAAGGGTTATCTGTCCAACTGGAGTTTTTCCAGAGGCCTAACCTTTTATTTATTTTTTTATTAAAAGTATTGTTATTGCTTTTTAAAGAGAGAGGAAGGGGGAAGGAGAGAGAGAGAGAAACATCCATATAAGAACATAACATCAATTGACTGCCTCCTACAACTTCCCACAGCCTAGGCATGCCATAGTCTGGGCAGGAATTGAACCAGCAGCCCTTTCTTTTTTTTTTATTTTTTATTTATTTTATTTATTTATTTATTTATTTATTTTTTTTATCCTCACCAGAGGACATTTTTCCATTTTTTACTCAGATAGAGCGGGAAGGAGAGAGAGGAAGAGAGAGAAACATCCATGTGAAAGGGACACATCGAGTGGCCGCCACCCACACGACCCAACCAGGGCCGGGGACAAACTGCAGCCAAGGTACATGCCCTTAGCGGGATCCGAACCCGGGTCTCTGTGGACCGCAGGCTGACGCTCTAACCGCTGAGCCAAACCGGCCAGGGCAGCCCTTTCTTTTTGGTGCACAGGATGACGCCCAGCCAACTGAGCCACTCTGGCCAGGGCTAGAGGCCTAGCACTTTAAAACTCTGTTCTCTTCTGGGCTGAGCTGCAGAAGTGTCACTGGTTCTCCATTATCTTTCTCACTTTCTATCTCTACCTGCAGGCCTGAGGCACTTTCTAGCACTAGACAGAGGAGTGGAGTGAAATACACCGGTGTATTCAGGAAACTCTCAGACATCCTTAGGTACAACATGGAAAAGGAGGGGGTGGAGGAAGCAGGCTTTGTAGCCCTTTAAGTGTCTTAAACTATTCTGAAGGTCACGGGTTCTCAAAGTGTGTACATCAGGGTCATGGGTGGTCCTTGTTAATAATGCGAACTCCTAAGGCCCTCCCTGGGAGAGTCTCCCTCAGTAGGGTTAGGGGGATGCCAGTGTCCTAGGGGAAGGATGGGGCTGCTTTTAAAGTAGTCACCTCAGGTGTTTCCAGTGTCATTTGTTGGTCCTCACATGTTAAGACTCCAGTGATCTGTAGTAGTGTTCTCCAACCTTGCTGTACTTCGGAATCACTGAAGAAACTTACTGAAAATAGAGATACTCTGACCGCACCTCTGGGGATACTGATTTGGTTACAGTGAGAACTCAGGCAGATTTCTGGTTTGAGGAACTAGATGGATGAGCTACACTCTTGTTTGCACTTTCTAAGCAGAGACTAATCATTTATTTTTTGTAAGGTATTAAAGCTCCTGAAAATTGTTAGTGACAGTAGATAAGTAGAAGTATGCCTGAATTTGATATTATTTCATAGCAGTGATCCAAAGTCAGTATTTCTACATAGTCTTACTAAAACAGTACATTACTCATTAAAGTAGAACTTTAAATCAAATTAAATGAACTTTGTTGAACTAAGAGGTGAATGTGTTGCGCTCTTCTCCGGAACTGAGATGTGGGAGTGGTAGAAACATGCATGAATGACTGTCTTGCCCCACTGACCGTATTTAGAGACAGTCTTTCCTTTGTGGTTGCGGAAAGAACCCTGACTAGTTCCCTAGCGGGTGAATCAGTGTTTGCAGGACTGTTGGTCAGTTTGGAGCTTGTCAGCTTGGTCAGTCTGAAGCCTCCACTGCAGTATCCAGGTTCTTCTGCCTGTCTTCAGTCGCCTGTGTTCAGTTGCATGGTTAGGGTATACCGTTTGGCTCTCTGCTTTTGGGGATGCTTTAAGGTTTTTTGTTTTTTTTAACTTCTTGTTATTCAGTTGGCTTGCCCAGTATATGACTGCTTAGACATTTATTCTATTAGAAATATATTCAGGAGACATTTTAATTCATTTCTCCCTCCTCTACACTTAAGTCTTTGAAAGGTTAAATTATGGTCTTTAAGCCCCTCTTTCCTCTACCCAGGACTTGTTATTTCTTATTGCAATATAAGAAGTAAAAAAATAGTTGAGATCACAGAGGATTAGGTTAAAATAGCACTAGTGAAATGAAGCCAGTTTTTGAAGAATTTTGCATTGCTTTAAAAAAATAGAATACCACAAAAGAAGTAAATGAGAGTATTTTAATACGAGTATATTAGATAATCTGTTTAAGAGAAATTAAAACTGTGAATTTAAAGCTATGATTAATAAAGGTCTATAAAGTACAAGCTTTATTTTATTTTTTTATGTCTATTGTTGAAAGTATTACAGATGTCCCCCCTTAAAGTACACACTTTAAAGGCTTTAACAGATTTTTACATTTTTTTTTTGTAGATGAATTCTTGTATTAAAAACCCCAAAATTCTTCTGTTGAAGTGTTCCATTGAATATCTCTACAGGGAGGAAACTAAATTTACTTGCATTGACCCTATTGTGCTGCAGGTAAGAACTCCTCACTGAAACAAGAATAGGGAAGGATATTTGTGCACTGGGATGCCCTCAGCTCTGCAGCTACACAGGCAAAAACCCGTTTGACTCTGCTTTAGGAAATTACAGCTGAGCTTCTGCTCAAGGGGCTCCTTTCTGGGAGAGGCGCACCCCCAGCTCTGGGGGGCGGTTGTTGGCTCTGCTGCTCAGAGTTCCATTTCCAGTTGTACCAATGCATTTGTTATTGTACATTTTGAATTTCCCTTGAGGCAGCCTCCAGCTATGCTGAGCTGCCTGCCTGGGCTGTCCATGTTCTCTCTCAAGGTACCAGTTGTTTTTGTTAGTGCTCTGCATATGAAGTTGCATAGGTTTTAAAAGTTGTCTGCTCCAACCCCTTTTATCCCACAAATGATATTAATTTTAATGTGTGTTTGTTCAAAATAGGAGGTTTTCAGGAATGTATTTCATATTACAGCAGAAACACTTATATTTGGTTCCAGAAATATTTAGGAAAACAATTACTTGAAAATTTATAGGTGATAGGCACATTTTTCCAAGAGTGGAAGGAACAATAGCTTTTGTACCGAATCCATTGACATCAACAGAAGGAACTGAATTGTGAAAGGCACCAGGGTTTATGAATCTCTGCTCTATTACTTAGTGAACTATATTACCTGGGGCTGTTTCCTCTTTGGAATTCAGCTACGTATCAGTAAAAATGAGAGGTTTTGACTAGATTTATACCATCCCTTCTAGCTCTGACTTACTGTGACTGTTCAGTGGAGAACTGAAATGAGTAAGGGAAACACAGTTATGTTCATGGAATCTAAGCTACTTTGATGCTGATGTTCTGGATCTCACCAGCGGGGTCAGCAGAAGACTTACAGGGTTAGATCACAGCCGCATTGATCCTAACACTCATCCTGATTGCAGAGGTGTTAAGATGTGTAAAACTGTATGTCTTAAAATTGATGAACTAGGTAATTGACATACACAGATATTTATTTGCAAAAAAGTTATACTAAATTTATCTACTTTCTTTGAACTCCATTCTTACAGTCAGGTTAACAGACTGAAAAGTCTTTTCATGTTAGAGAAGTAGGCTCTGAGCAAGTATGCACTTAGGAAACATGGTTTGATTCATATACCCTAAAGCATCTTGTTCATCAGTGCTTTAAAATATAGTTCATAATACCTTTAACTCCTGCCCTGTTAAAGCTTTTAGTTTGAATTGATAGAAAATATCAGCTGCCTCCCTCCTTTTTCTTTGCCTACTCAGTATGAGATAACTAAATAGTCAAAGAAGCTGAAAAGTAGATGAGAAAGGAAAAGGAGGATGAGAAACCAAGGGTGGGGAGAAGTTTAGCCTGTACCTTCCTGCTGTCTTCGCCAGGCCGGCCCTGTAGGTGCGTTGGTCCGCCACTGCTCCATTCCCTGCTCATGACCTGCCTCCTGATACTCTGTCCTTGTGGAGGCTGGCCCAGGCCTTTTTTTTTTTTTTTTTTAAACATGGTGTCTAATGTACAATATAATAGTTGATTGAAGTTGGAACTGAGAGGAAAACATCCCTGTGCCAGAGGCCAGAATCTTTAATAAAGTCAACTTATTCTCCTTATACTTTATTGAAGCTGCACAAATAAAATCAATTCTATTTTTGTTAAGAATGGGAGAATTAGCATGATCTCACTTATTTGTGGAATATAATGAACAAAATAGACCCAGAGACATAGAAGTAGGGTGCAGACTGACAAACCTCAGAAGAGGTGGATGAGGGAGGGAAGAGATAAACCACAGAACTTCTATGCATGTATGGGTCACCGTGCCATAGACAACAATGCTGGGGGTAGGGGGATGAGAGGGATCAGGAGGAGGGTGTCAATGGGGGAAAAAGAAGAAACATCTGTAAGAAAAATAAATTAATAAGAAAGAATGGGAGAATTAGAAAATACACAATTTCTGTTACTGAAACAGCGAGGTGAGGAGAAATATACTCATAGCAGGGCAGGTTCATTGTAGGGAATAGGCTCATCTATTGCTGGCGACACTGATCATGAATACAGTCTTGTTCAGAAAACACTCTGGGCAGATGGGGTAGAAGTGACAGACATGCTCACATGTTTAGTTGTTTCTATCTGGGCCCAGAAGTTTTATGAAACAATTAATGGCTTGTATTGTTTTAACTCTGGTTATTGTTTATAATATTCATTTGCTTTGAAAATAATCCCTTGTCATGAAACTGTATTAAGAATGCTGTTTTAATTTTTAACTATAACTGCTCTAGGTAGAGTATGATCTGTGGGGAGATTGAAATTAGGAAGTAGCTGAGAGAGCATCTGTTAGAGAGTGATTTATGCAGATACTCGGAAGAATGGATGCTCTGTTAGTTTCAGAATGCAGAAGGAGGAATCCTTACCTACATTAAAAATACTTTGAAATTGCTTTCATTTTAGGGGTCATGAGATTAGGGATTTTTGGTCTATTTTTTTTTAACCTCTGAAAACCAGCTAATTGGATTATTGGCTTTTATGGTACAGGTTATTAAGAATTAAAAACCCTTCAAAGTAAAATTAGTGATTGAAGAATGGAATTTCTGCTGAAACTCTTTTCAGCATAATCAGTAGTTTGGAAAGATGAGTAATATCCTTGGTTGTGTTTGAATTAATTTGCTTTTAGACTTATTATTTATGGATGAAGAAAACTTAAACTCAGTCTGATATTAATAGGCAAACTATGCTGATATTTTAATGTCTAGATCTTGAATTGTACCAGGTATAATATTTCTGATTTATCTTTTTTAGGAAAGGGAGTTCTTGAAGAATTATGTTCAGCGAATAGTTGATGTTCGACCCACATTGGTTCTAGTAGAGAAAACAGTATCTCGGATTGCCCAGGACATGTTACTGGAACATGGCATTACTTTGGTCATTAATGTAAAATCAGTGAGTTTTCTTATTTTTCTGTCATTTTAAATCGCAGCTTAAGTGTGTAGCATGTGTGGTAGGTATTCAGGGACCATTGATTATTTATTTTTTTTGCTGCACTGTCCTTATTGAAAGTAGGACAGGAGGTATGGCAGCTGTTTCACTATTTGAGACCGGAGGATCTCAGGCTGGAAGAAAGTGTGATTGGCTATGTACACTCATTGTAGGAGTCTACAAGACCAAAGATCCCTTATATTGTTTGGGGAATTGTACAAGCAGAAAATGTTGTCTCCCTTGACAACTTACTCTCTTAAGAATAGAGGCCAGTTCCAGAAGTCCCCGCCCCCACAGTGTCCTGCACCAGTGCATGATGCATAACTGCCTTTGATAATGTTCTCAGTATGTGTGTGGTTTATTTTAGTGGGCACTTGGTTATTTCTAAGCAACTATGCGTAAACTAACCTAGAATCAGAAAGTCATATAATTACTCAAATGAAGGAAATTCACTGTGAAGGTTATTTTTAAATTTTTCCAGCTTAAATTTACTGAGAATTTTATTTGTCTCTAATTTTATAATGGTTTTCTGCATTCTAGCAAGTTTTAGAACGAATCAGTCGGATGACCCAAGGTGATCTAGTGATGTCGATGGACCAGCTGCTTACAAAACCCCACCTGGGAACCTGTCACAAATTTTATATGCAGATGTTTCAGTTGCCTAATGGTGAGTGATCTTAAGCATAGATTCACCTGAGATTGGGGACCTGTGGGTATTAGTAACCTCATCAGCACTACCGTGTTTACTTCTTCTTACTATTTTTTAAAAATATTTTTTTATTGCCCTGGCCAGGTTGGAGTGTTGGCCTGCGGTCCAGAGAGACCTGAGTTTGGTTCCCGCTAAGGGCACGTACCTCAGTTGCAGTTTGTCCCCGGCCCTGGTAGGGTTGTGTGGGAGGCAGCCACTCGATGTGTCCCTTTCACATCGATGTTTCTCTCTCTTCCTCTCTCTCCCTCCTGCTCTATCTGAACAAATAATGGAAAAATGTCCTCGGATGAGGATTAAAAAAAAAATTTTTTTTTAATTGAGAGAGAGAGGAAGGGAGAGAGAGACAAAAACATCTATATCACCCTGGCCTGTTTGGCAGTTAGAGCATTGACCTGTGGACCAAAGAGTTTTGGATTCAATCCCCAGCCCAGCTGGGGTTGTGCAGGAGACAACCAAGTGATGTGTCCCTCTAACATGGATGTTTCTCTCTCCCTCTCTTCCTCCCTCTCTCATTCTCTATCAAAAAAAAAAGTGTTTACTTAGTAGGAAATATCTGTTAGCACTGGTTAAATGAGGATAGGCAACTGTGACTTTTTTTTCCACTTTTTGTTAAGATAGAGTGGGAGGGAGAAAGAGGAAGAGAGAGAGAGAGAAACATCGATGTGAAGGGACACATCGAGTGGCTGCCACCCACACGACCAGCCAGGGCCGGGGACAAACTGCAACCGAGGTACGTGCCCTTCGCGGGATCCGAACCCGGGTCTCTCTGGACCACAGGCCAACGCTCCAACCGCTGAGCCAAACCAGCCAGGGCAAAAGTTTCTTTCTTTCTTTTTTTTTTTTTTTTGTGGTATGTGCCCCTAGTGGGAACCGAACCCGGGACTCTCTGATCCGCAGGCTGACGCTCAACCGCTGAGCCAAACCGGCCAGTAACTGTGACATTTTTACTTGTAGATGTTAGCATAGTCTGGACTTCTGGATTGCCACCTATTCTTAACTTTCTGTTTGTTTATTTATAGAACAAACCAAAACATTGATGTTTTTTGAAGGCTGTCCACAGCACCTGGGCTGTACAATCAAGCTTAGAGGAGGCTCTGATTATGAGTTGGCTCGAGTTAAGGAGATCCTAATATTTATGATCTGTGTGGCTTATCATTCTCAACTCGAAATCTCCTTCCTCATGGATGAGTTTGCTATGCCTCCTACATTAACCCAAAACCCTTCCTTCCATTCTCTGATTGAGGGACAGGAGGATGAGGGGGCTGCACAAGAGCCGTTCAGTGGAAGTCCCCGCTCTCGGGAGCCCGACTTCCCGTCGGAGTTGCTGCCCTCTGATGATAGCAGTTTGCTCGAGTCCGGGCTTGTGTTTGAGAAGGGTGACCCGGAAAGAAAAAGTGTTCCACAGGATGTTGCCTCTGTGAAGCACCAAGAGTACGCCAGTGCTGCTTGCCCAGCAGGCGTCCCCTGTGCTCTCTTTCCATCCGTACCTGAATCACTGTTGCCGCTCCACGTGGACGACCAGCAGGGAGCCCTAGGCACTGAGCAGCCTGAGACTTTGCAGCAAACAGATGAGCTACAGGATCCCAAAAGCCAAATGAGAACGTTTAGAGATCCTCTACAGGATGACACTGGACTCTATGTTACTGAGGAAGTTACCTCTTCTGAAGATAAACGAAAGACTTATTCTTTGGCCTTTAAACAGGAATTAAAAGATGTGACCCTCTGTATCTCTCCAGTAATCACATTCCGGGAGCCCTTTCTTTTAACTGAAAAGGGGATGAGATGCTCTACCCGAGATTATTTTGCAGAGCAGGTTTATTGGTCTCCTCTTCTCAATAAAGAATTCAAAGAAATGGAGAGCAGGCGGAAGAAACAGCTGCTCAGGGACCTCTCTGGCCTTCAGGGCATGAACGGAAGTGTTCAGGCCAAGTCTATTCAGGTCTTGCCCTCGCATGAGCTAGTGAGCACTAGGATTGCCGAGCATCTGGGCGACAGCCAGAGCTTGGCTAGGATGCTGGCCGATTATCGGGCCAGAGGAGGAAGAATTCAGAAAAATTCAGACCCTTTTGCTTATTCAAAGGATGCTTCAGGTACTTCAAGTGGCAAATCAGGAAGCAAAACTGAGGCCGATGAAGAGAAAGGCTTGATCCCAAGTGACGCAGTGTGGTCGTCAAAGGTGAGCAAGCGCATTTTGGGTGCTTGTGTACATTTAGATGTGCTGAAAACTGTTATGGCAGGGTAAGAAAAAATCAAATATGACAAGTTGTGTGCTGATTTGTTCAATATTTCTGTTATCCTTTTTTGGTATCTTAGGTCTTTTGATTTATGTGTTGCTTTAAAATGTTTGAAATAGGAGTATAATGTAATGAAACTATGTTTTGAGGGTTTCAAGCTAAACTCGGCAGAGCTCTGAGGGAGGGGAAGTTTGGGGCTGCTTAACATTTCTGGCAGGATGACTTGGGTGTGGTGTGGGTGTTCTTGATTCTTTCATTGGTAGTAAGGGGGAGAGAGCAATGGAAGCTTATTGTGGGAAATGGATGTGTTTTTTTAAAAAAAGTTAGATTTATTCATTTTTAAACATAAAACACTTTGCAGTGTTATTTAACTATGACAGTGCCCTTTATCTTTACTTTTTAAACAAAAATTAAAGGCAAATTAAGGAAGATTTCATTCACAAGCACATTATTGATGATGGTGTTAATAAAACTAATGAATAAATCCATTTCTAGATCAGGACATGCAGTTGTTTAATAAAACAAATAAAAATGTCCAATATCACTGGTACTCAGGGAAATGCCAAATAATAATGGTGCACCATGTTTTATTTGTGAGATTGGCCAAAAGAAAAGTGTAAGAGGCATGCATGGTTAGTGAGGTAGGGAAAAGTACCTATAATAAACTATATAAATATCTGTTTATATGCATTTATATAATGTATAAGAGGTCTCTATTAATTTATATGAGCATGAATATACTTTGGATTCAGGACTTGTGTCTTTTATAACTGATTCCTGTATGAACAAGTAAGTGTTTTATATAAGGATGCTTAAAAATCTATTAGAATATATGTAAAAGGATGTTTACTGAAGCATTATTTCTAATTGCTTGCTACAAAAAGAATGAATTGGGTCTTATTATAGGACCAGATAGAGCCCATGGTATATTTTCAAGTATTAAAATGCAAGTTGTGTTTTGATAGATGTAGCATCATCTCATTTTTATAAAAACAATTCCCTGCGTATACTTGTGTAGAGGTTTCTGTGTGTATACGTGTGTGAGCTAGCGGCAAGAATGCATGGTCTTTAACTATACAGTCAAATTTATCAATTTGGGGGGTGTCGGGCGACCTCAAAGGAGGGGAGGCTGTATGTACCTCAGGAACATTTTTATGTACCTGTGTACTATTTGAATTTCAGCAGAGAGCGGGCTTTATCTTTATAATGACCAAAAATAGGTATGAAGTACAAATAATTAAATACCTTAGAATTTCCATATCTGTATGATGATGTATCCAGCCATTAGTTCAGACTCTTTCATATTTAATAAGCTATATATTCCCAAAATAATTTAATGCAGTTTTGTAAAAATAAATAGTATTTAAGAAACAAGCTGTTTAGATAATAGTTTGCATTTTTAAGTTTAACTTCAAGTTTTTGGATTGTTTTATCACAAAAACTAACTGCTCTTCTTCCTTGTATTTAGTTTCTTTTACATCTTTAGCAGAACCCCTACAGATAGGAGGCTTTCAAAATGGGGTGGGATGTGTTGGGTTTTAGAAGCACGCATTGCTCCTGGAGTGTGTTATGACTTGCGGGCGCTCATTGTCTCCTTCTCTCTCAGGTGGACTGTCTGAACCCCGTCAACCACCAGAGACTGTGCGTGCTCTTCAGCAGCTCCTCTGCCCAGTCCAGCAACGCCCCGAGTGCCTGTGTCAGCCCTTGGTAGGATTCTTGTCCCCTGCACTATTGCACTTTACCTAAGAGCAGAATTCCAGCAACTTTACATAAAAATTCAGTCCCTAGGATCTGTTTTTAGGTATATGGCATGCTGATGGCTATATATGAGAGAGAGAACTTTTAAAACTTGAGTTAAATATGAAATTTCCATTTGTTCATTGGTAGAAGTAAATGAGATTACCTTAAGTAAGAGTGAACTGAATGTGAGGCTGGAAGAGAAATTTGCTATTATAAAAGTGAAAAAGTTGATACAAAAGCTAGTTTTCAGCATTTTGATGATAACGTAATTTAGGCAGGTTTTCCTTTAGGTATTGTTTTCATAAAAACAGTCAGTCTTTTGCATTGGTTTAATCTAAAACTTAATTATAAGTAAATTGATAGAAACACACTTTGTAATGTAATAAGTGATTTGTTTTAAATGTTAGTCAAAAAAGCCTAGTTACATAGTTTATCTTTAGTTTTCAAAGTACTTGGAAACATAGCTCCTTGTTTTTGGAGCAGCATTTCCATGACAAAGTGTGTTCCATAGCTTAATCTGGGACCCCAGGAACACTGTTCTGCCAGTGAGATCAGGGATTCTTCTAGTGTCAGCAGGGCTACAGCAGGCGACAGGCCGAGGGGGCCCACAGGCATTTTCTCTTGGAGTGTAAGGACTCCTTAGGGCAGGGCTTGAATAAGATGTGGGTTTCAGCAGGGATCTAGCCAAGCTCTCTTATTTGTGGGCATTTATAAGTTAGATATAAAGTTAGAAATTGGCCTGCTGGAAGAATTTGAGCTGCAGTTCACCAGGCTCAGTAAGGTGTGGACCAGAGAGCAGGAGACAGTTTTACTCATTTAATATTATAGTTTATGCATCCTGATGAAATAGTTTCATGAGATACGAGTGGACTGGGAGTGGATAAGATGCTGTAGCGTGGCTAGTCCAAACTCGTTGAGATAAACCTGTTCTGTAACAAGGAAAGAATATTAGCTGCATCAGTATTACATTATAGGCACATCTAATAGATAATCAGTTTGTAGCCTCATAAATTGTCTTTGCTTTGTGGTAAGTCTCATGATACATACTAAGAAATGATCTCTTCCTTTAGGATTGTAACAATGGAATTTTATGGAAAGAATGATCTTACATTAGGAATATTTTTGGAGAGATACTGTTTCAGGTAAGAACAAATTTTCTCTTTATGTTCCACTTTTGCTTCATTGAATTCCAGAATTTCAACGTAAAGCATAAACATGAATTATTGTTTGTGTGGCCTTCAGTTTCATACCACATGCAAAGAAAGTCTATTTTATAGTCAACTGGGGATGTCTTACCCTGTTCATTCCTCAGATCTTTGTCTATCTAATTATCCTGCGAGCACTAAGACTTCTTCTTTTCTTTAGGATTTGTGTTTTTACAGTGATTCAAATGAGAGGCAACAGAAGCAGAGGATCTTAAGTTGAAGTCTTAGTGCTATCACCTGCCACTTATATTTCAAAGAGCAAGTAACTTGATCTTTACCAGCCCTCTTTATGGGGATTAAGAAGATCTAGAAATGTAAGGAGTTTTAAAAATGTTCAGCAAATAGGGAAACTCTCACCATGCTGTCATCGAAGACAGCATGTTCAGCTCCAGACCCCAAGCAGTACTTTTTTTTTACTCCTCACCCGAGGACATTTTTAAATTTTTTGTTCAGATAGAGGGGGAGGGGGAGAGAGGAGAAGAGAGAGAAACATCGATGTGAAAGGGACACATCGAGTGGCTGCCACCCGCACGACCCAACCAGAGCCGGGGAACAAACTGCAACCCTTAGCGGGAACCGAACCCGGGTCTCTCTGGACCGCAGGCCGACGCTCTAACCGCTGAGCCAAATCGGCCAGGGTTCCCAAGAAGTACTTTTCAGTGGAACCTGCATAGACCGTCCACCAGTCATTCTCAGGCTAGAGAGGACGCTGCACTTCCTTGACAGTGGCTCTGATTAGTCAGTATTCATTACACATCGCTCCTCAGTTTTATGGTTAATGTGAGGACTTTCTTTTTGTCAAAGGCCTTCTTATCAGTGTCCTAGCATGTTCTGTGATACCCCCATGGTGCATCATATTCGGCGCTTCGTCCACGGCCAAGGCTGTGTGCAGATAATCCTGAAGGAGTTGGATTCTCCAGTACCTGGATATCAACATACGATTCTCACCTATTCCTGGTGCAGAATCTGCAAACAGGTAAATGTACCCAGTAGCTATAATATTTCATATGATACTTATTTCTCTTGTGTAGTTCTTTTTTTTAGGGGGATAGTCTGTTACTTGGGATTATGCTAGAAAGGAAAAGGTAATGTTACATCACAATGAAAAACTTCTGTGTATCAAAATTATAACATATGTGACCAAACATTAATCTACTTAATATTAAATTTCTATAACCCATGAAAATAGAAAAATGGGCAAAGGGCACGACGAAGCAATTTAATACCAATGGTCAATAGTTTGTGCAAATAAATTTTACTTACGAGTAGTCAGAGAAGTGTAAATAAAAACCAGTGAAGTATGTTTCTAGTTTTTCCTTAAGAAACCACATTTCAAAGACGTATAATTCCTGAGACTGGTACGAGAGTGGGGAACTGGCGCTCTGATGCTGTTGGGGGTTGTGTGAACTAGCACACCTGTTTCGGAGACAGCGCGGCTAAAAGCGACAGAGACTGTGCAAATGTTCAAGTCTCTTGACCTTCCTGTTTCCACTTTTATTAATTTATTCCAAGGAAATAATTATGGATATTTAGAAGTATTTATATACAAGGGAGATAAGAGCATCATCAAAATAAAGAAAAACTTGGAATGACTTAAAGGCACATCAGTGGGGATTGGTTAAATGCATCCATATAATGGGATACTCTGAAGCCATTCAAAATCAAGTTGTACAAGAGTATTTTATTGGAAACATTGATGATCCATTACTAATTAAAAGAAAGAAAAGATTATGAAACTGACTACAGGAAATAATTTTTATCATATTGATGTTGGTGGTCAGATTACTGGTGATACTGCTCTTCCCAGCCATCCCTGACTCCACCCACCTTTAAATGTTTCTTTCTTTTTCAGGTTTCCGTAGTCAGAATATATTAGATTTGCATTAGAAAAGAAAATGTATTATTTAAAAAAAAGATTCTCAGTATGTGATTAGATAACAAACGATTTATGCTGAATTTCAGGTAACACCAGTTGTTGCTCTTTCCAATGAGTCCTGGTCCATGTCATTTGCAAAATACCTTGAACTTAGGTTTTATGGGCACCAGTACACTCGTAGAGCCAATGCTGAGCCCTGCGGTCACTCCATCCACCATGACTATCACCAGTATTTCTCCTATAACCAGATGGTGGCATCTTTCAGGTAAGAAGTCAGAGCTACCCTGTACGCAATCACGTACTCCCTGGAAGCTTTGTTACATTTTCACTATTACTAGATCGAATTGATTTGCGGTGTGTGTTGTACCCCACCGCTGACTTTGCAAATGCAGAGGGCCAACCCCTTGTGCTAAGCTTCCAGTACTGTTAATTCTGTTTACCCCTTACCCTGAGAGATAATAGGTATTGTTATTAATCTCACTTAGAGGGTGTATTATCTCACTTATAAAGCCAGCAAGTGATGGAGTCATGATGTGAACTAGTACATCTACTACTACAAGGTGTTACTCTTAACTGTAGTTTCTGTTTTTGCATCTGAGAGTTTGTCAGAATTTTTGCTAAGAAATTAACTGGCATGAGGGGAAGTGGATATTCTGGATAGAGCTAAAATCACTAGTTCAGAGATGGGTAGTTACACTGTGGTATTAAGTGATTTGAGAAAGCCTTCAGAATGTATCCAGAATCTGTCCGGCCAGTGTGACTCAGTGGACTGAGCATTGTCCATGGACGGAGAGATCCCTGTTCGATTCCCAGTCATGGCACATGCCCGGGTTGCGGGCTCGATCCCCAGTAGGGAGCATGCAGGAGGTAGCCGATTTATGTTTTTCTCTCACATTGATGTTTCTATCTCTCTATCCCTTCCTCTCTCTCTAGAAAAATCAATAAAAACCTATTTAAAAAAATATTTCCAGAATCTGAACACGTCTCACTACCTGCACCACTACCACTCTCGACTGAGCCTCTGTTATTTTTCACCAGATGTTTTAGTTGCCTCAACCAGTTTCCTTTTGGCCTTGACTCCTGCAGCCTCTTTTCAACACAGTGGTCAGAATGATCCTATTAGATGAAAGTCAGCGCAGGCCACACTCTCTGATGGGAGTCTGTTTCACCCTGAGTGAAAGCCAGAGTCCATTGACGGACCAGTAAGCTCTTACGTGCTCTGGCTGCCGAGTACCTCTGTTCCTACCTCCTACTACTCCCCTTGCTCCCCTTGCTGCAGCCTCACCTGCATCCTGGCTGGCCTTGGTTATGCTCTTCCCTCTTCGAACCGCCTGCTCCCCAAATGTCTGCCTGCTTTGCTTGTCTTTAGTTAGATTTCACCTCCTGACTTACTCTCACCCCAGCATTTCCTATTTTTCTCCATAGCACTTACTATCTGATAATTACATATTTTAAGTATTTATTTGTCTCCTTTGTTTTCAAATCTTATTCCTAAATCCTGAGGGTAGGAATTTGGACCTTGTCAGCACCTGAAACAACTCTTGATACGTAATAGGAAATATTTGTAACTGGACTCTTTTTTTTTTTTTTTAAGAGCTTTTAACTGTGACCTAGGGCCTAGGTGGGATGTAGTGTTTATTAGGTGGAAAGGAAAGACTCCTGAAGAATCCTCAGGAGCCAGGAAGGTGTGTCTGAGCTAACTGGGGGAAGGAGTCATCTCCCCACTTGTAGAGGTTTATATCCCAGGCATTTTGTTTTTAAACACATGAGGATAGCCTCAGGGGAATAACAGATGATACCACGGTGCAGTGTAAAGACAAACCAAAATCCTCCCAGAACTGGGGAGAATATTTATAATGCTCAAAAGTTGTCTTCAATATATTTTTTTAACTTAAAAGAAATTTCTTTTTTAGAGAGGAAGGGAGAGACAAACATCGGTGTGAGAGAGAAACATTGATCGGCTGCCTCCTGCATGCCCCCTACTGGGGATGGAACCCGAAACCCAGGCATGTGCCCTGACCAGGAATCCAGCCAGGACCTCTCGGTCCTTGGGACAATGCTCAGTCCACTGAGCCACACAGCTGGGCTGTCTACAATATTTTTATGATTATTTTAAAACCACTTTATAGAAACTTTATTATCTCTTATGTCTCATAGCCTTTAGTTGACCATCATGATATGCCTTTACTCAAAATATTAACATATTTTTCACTTTTCTACCCTTGCTCATATTTTCTTCTCTCAGTTATTCGCCTATTAGGCTTCTTGAAGTATGTGTTCCACTCCCCAAAGTATTCATTAAACGTCAGGCCCCATTGAAAGTGTCCCTTCTCCAGGATTTGAAGGACTTCTTTCAAAAGTAAGTGTTACTTTCTTTGATTATCTTCTTTGTTCAGGACTGCCTGTAATCTATAGCTATTTTAAATGTCAGGTTTGCTCATTTAGCTTTCTTTGAAAACAAATAATGGCATTTTTCTAATTGTGTGTTAAATATGCTTGATATAAAATAATTAAAATGTAGACATATATAAAAGTATTGAAAAAGAAGACACTGTCAGACGTAACAGGTGTTAAAAATTTGATGTACATCCTTTCGGGTCTTTTTTGTTCTGCAAAATGGCATATGAATTAGATAAAACATATTAAGGTTTTTTTTTTTTATGAATTTATTTATTTATTTATTTTTTTGTTACAGATATTTTACCTTTTTACCCCATTGGCACCCCCCACCCCACCCCCCCTCCACCCTGTCCCCGACTTAGTTGTCCATGTCCATTGGTCATGCATACATGCATATAAGTTCTGTGGTTTATCTCTTCCCACACCCCCACCCCCCATCCCCTCTTCTGAGGGATGTCAGTCTGTGCCCTACTTCCATGTGTCTGGGTCTACTGTATTCCTCAGACTGTTATGTTCATTATATTCCGTATATAAGTGAGATCAAAACATATTAAGGTTTTGTGTGACATTTCTTTTTTCTATTTATATGAGGTGAGAAAATTTAATTTCACTCTTCTAAAGTGTTTAATTCTTTCTATATATTGTTAGAGTTACACAGGTATATCTTGCTATTGATGAAAGACTTGCATCTTTGAAAACTGACACATTTAGCAAAACAAGAGAGGAAAAAATGGAAGATATCTTTGCACAAAAGGAGGTAATTTGTTTCTCTGACAGAAACCCAAAAGTTAACTACTAACTCACTGGAAGATTCTTCTGGAGTGTGTCTCAGATGGCTGGGCTGGAATTGTTCTGTTTCTTGTAGATGGAAGAAGGTGAGTTCAAGAACTGGATTGAGAAGGTGCAAGCGAGGCTTATGTCTTCCTCTGCCGATGCCCCTCAGCAGCTGCAGTCGGTCTTCGAGTCCCTCATTGCCAAGAAGCAGAGCCTCTGCGAGGTGCTCCAAGCCTGGAATAACAGGTGTGGCGTGCAGCCGCTGTGTCTCCTGGTGCTGCAAAGTGGGCTCTGCCACGAGGCTTTTAATTTAAGTGTCTTTATTAATTATGGATGTTTTATTTTGCTTTCAGTCTGTGGAAGCTTTTATTTTGTGTGACCACTATTACCCCCACATTTTTTCATCTCTTAAAATGTATATGCGAGAACATTATGCTAAGTGAAATAAGCCAGTCAGAGAAAGACGGGTACCATGTGATCTCACCCACATGTGGAACCTAATGAACAAACTGGACTACCAAGCGAAATAGAGGCAGACTCATAGATAGAGAGCAGGCAGGCATCTCAGGGATGGGGGTCTGGGGGTGGTGAAGAGTTTGAGCGAAAAAGAAAAAGAAAGCACGCTTGGACATAGACAAGTCTGGTGATTGTGGGGTGGAGGGGGTGGTGGTGATGGAAGAGGACATAGAGGGATAAATGAGGATGGAAAAGTAAAATGAAATAAAAAAAAAAAGAAATACATGCTAATCTTTAGGCAGTTTGTGAAGATAACAGAAAATCAAAAGTGAGAATAGCCTTTAGTGTTGTTTCAAATACTTAGTGTGTGTGCTTATTGAATCTAATATATCTTAATTGTATATCATATACCTTTATCTAAACATTTATCTTGGGAAATATTTCCCTTTAATACTTAAATGTTCAGTTGGATGATTACAGCATTTGTTTTTTGAGCACTTGGATTATGCTGTGCACTAAATAAACACTAGGTGAACATTCACTCTTATTTGTTCTTACGAGTCCTACAATGTACATACTGTTTCTGTCTTACAGAGGAGCAAACTGTGCTCTTGGACACTAAGGGATTTGCCCAAGTTATGTGATGCTAATTGTCAAAGCTGGGCTTTGAGCTCAGGGTGTATTGGTCTCTAAAGCTCGTGTTTTTTTTTTTTAATACTTTACTTTAAAAAAATATTTTTAGTCTGGCCAGTGTGGCTCAGTGGTTGAGCATTGACCCATGCATCAAGAAGTCGCTGGTTTGATTCCCAGTTAGGACACATGCCCAGGTTGTGGGCCAAATACCCAGTGGGGGGCATGCAGGAGGTGGCCAATTGATATTCTCTCTTATCAGTGTTTCTATCTCTCTCTCCCTCTCACTTCCTCTCTCTCTAAAATCAATAAAGGAAAAAGATTTTTAAAAAATATTTTTTATTGATTTTAGAGAGAGGAAGAGGGGAAGAGAGAGAGAAAGAAATATCGATGAGAAAGAACATCAATTGGCTGTCTCCTGCCCACCCCCTACGGGATTGAGCCCGAAACCCAGGTCTGTGCCCTGACCGAGAATCTTACTGGCGACCTCTCATTGCATGGGACGGTGCTCAGCCAACTGAGACACACTGGCCTGGGCATAACTTGCTATTCTTTTATGACTATAGTCAAATCAGTACCAGCTCTTGATTAGTTGATTAGAAATAAGACAAAAACAGTCCTAGTTATGCACAACCTTAAAATCTATTGCATTTGAAATAGGAAAATCGAATTATTGTGGTTACGAAGCTGAAAGGAGAAAATTTGTAAACATTATTGGGGATATCATGAAACCACATTTTTTGTTTTCTTCTTTGTCTTTAACTCTAGGTTGCAGGACCTTTTTCAGCAGGAAAAGGGTAGAAAGCGGCCTTCAGTTCCTCCAAGTCCTGGAAGACTGAGACAGGGGGAAGAAAGCAAGGTAAGAGAGTGTAGTTTGGAGTGCACTCTTCCTTTCCACCGAAGACCGTGTCTCCCTGGCTGAGCTGAAACAGTGAAGAGGTCTTGCCGGAGCAGAGCTGAGCCCGGTAGCGCAGCACGGAGCAGACCTGCAGGGAGCAGAGCGGAGCAGAGTGTCCAGTAGAGAGGCTGGCCCAGGGCTGTTCCACAGCCACGCTTTTTTCACGGCCGTGCTATGTCACAGCTGAGCTGTGTTGCACTGAATCAAGTTTCCTTCTTCACTGCACCCCAAATTGAGGATTCCTCTTGGCATTAACAGGGCGCCAACAACCACTGGTTGACAGAATGGACATGATAGTTTTAGAGAATGGCCTATGCGAGAGGAAAGATGAGCTGGTAGCTGGAGAGAACAAAGTGTTATGGGTAGATTTTGTTTTATAATAGCAGAGATGTGCGCCTGTTGATAGGCAGTGGAGAAGGAGACAACACGAGGGGGAGAGAAGATATACTATGAGCAAAGACTCAGATGAGACAGACAGATGGAAGTCTTGACCTCTAAAATAGGAGGGAAGGAAGCAAGGTGAGTTCAGTTGTGAGTAAATATGCAGGTGAGAAGGGAAAACAGTTTCTGGTCAGACAGAAGGCAAGGCACCTGTGGATGAGGAATTTGAGGAGAGAGTTCAAGTTCAGAATAGTAGCTGACAATCCATTTGAAGTTGGACACCAGTAGTTTGGGAGGACCAGCCATAAAGTTAGCACAGATTAGTCTAAGTTTGGTGGTTTGCAAGGCAAGCGTATAAGATGATTAGACAGTTGCAGGAGTGAGGAACCCTGGGAAGAACGTGGTTCATTTGGAATGTATTCCAGATGGGGGGGGGAAAAACAGCACTTCACACATAGAGCACAGTATACTATTGCAATAACTGCCTGTTTATTTCTGCCACCGGCCCCCATTAAGGTGTAAAGAAGCACCTCCATCCTCTGTGAGAGTAAGGACTTTGCGGCATAGGGTGATTGTCTGACAAATAATCATCCACTGAATAAGTAAGGCAAAAAAGACGAGCTAAGAGAATAGATCACTTAATGGGATACAGAAGAAAGTATAGTAGGATTCAGTTTAATTTGATTAAAAAAATGTGGGCATCTCTTCTCTACCCTGGGTACTTAGGCATACCATAACACGTGCATGCACAAACACACAGATAGAAAAAATGTAGTTTTGCTTTGGACCTTTATTGATGTAAATGTTATTAATTTCATTTATGATGTTTAGAAGTAGTAGTTTAATACATACTTTATTAATAATATTAAATAGAGTTTCTCATTTTAAAGTTGTAAGGTTTCAAGGAGGTATGACCTAGATTAATTTTTTTATCTTAGCCTGAAATAAAATATTTTTTGTTTTAAATTTTATTTTAATTAATTATCATAGTTTATTTGAAACATTTATCAAAAGCTCCTGTCAACTGACATCCCTGGGGGTAGCATCAGGGTGGCAGTAGGTGCTGTAGAGAAGTTGTGGGTGCTCTGAGTGTATAATAGAGTCCTAATTTATTTTTAACTGTTCTTTATCTCTGGGCTTAAGTGAGAAGCTTTTCTTAAGGGGTTCTACATTTGATTTAATTAGCCGTTCCTAACTGTGCTAGTTTTCTCTTGCTGCATAGCAAATTACCACAAACTCAGTGGCCTAAAACACAGATTTATTGTCTCTGGCATGGTATGGCTGAGTTCTCTGCTCTCTCCCAGCTAAGGTTTTGGCCGGGGCTATCATCTGATCTGAGGCTTGTCATCCTCTTCTAAGCTCATCCAGCTTGTTGGCAGGATTCAGTTCTTGGTGGTTATAGGACTGAGGTCCTTTTGTTGTCAGCCAACCAGAGAAGATTCTCAGCTCCTAGAGGCTGCCTGCTTTTCTTGCCATGTGGTCCCTCCATCTTCAAAGCCTGCAACAATGTGCCAGACCCTCTCATGCTTCAGATCTCTGAGTTCTTGTGTGTCTGACCTCTAGACACAGATTAAAAGGACTCGTGATTCGGTCAGGCCTTCCTGGATAATCCTTCCTCCTGTAAGGTTGACTGATTTGGGACCTTAAATACATCTCAAAATTCCTATACAGCAATATCTAGGTTAGTGTTTGGTTGAATAAAAGGGAGGTGTGTGTATACACCAGGGCCGGGCTTTTGGGGACCATCTTAGAATTCTGCAAACCACACTACTAACCCTATTCAGATGAATTAATGTTAGTGTATATAAGGGCTTAGTATTTCTGATACCATGAAGGCTCTTGAGAGAATATTTTCTTTTTGTACAAGTGTATAATACCTATAGAGGAATGTTTTCATGGAATGGTACATCCAAGTGCCTTTAATCTTTGTGTTATTTAGTAATGTATAAATGAATTCTTCCTTTTTGTCTCATAAATAATTATGTAGGAATCACTTTTCCTTAGAGTATAGGTGAGAGGGAGAATAAGGATTACTGAAGATGATTTTTATATTAATATTTGCCACATAGTCTAGGACTGCTAATGGCTAACACAGACTGCTCGTGGCCTGTTTGCCCACTGGAGAAATTGCAAACCTAGATGTGTAAGACCTTTAATTAATATGTAGACACAGTTTAAAATACAGAATCATTTGCCTGACGATTATCTTTTTGAACGATTGAAAGTTGATTTGAAAATCTGTAGCAGTGCCCTTATTTTCATTCCCTGTGTAGTACTCGTGTGCTTTGGGCACTGTTCCAGGTGCCAGGCGTGTGTGTGGACAAAGGTCGCAGTCACTGTCCCTGCTGAGCATTCGTCTGATGAGGAGGGCACTGAAAACAAACAAATGAACCAGTAAACATTTTTTTTAAAAAAATGGAAAAAGGGCTATAAAGAAAAAAAAGGAGAATATTGCTGAGGGAGTGGGTGGTGATGGGTTATTTTATACAGGGAGGCCAGGAAGGTCTCACTGGTGTGGTGAGCAAATCTAAGAATGTCTAAGCAGCAATCTAAGATACGACTTTGTAATCACACTATACACAGGACTTGTAGTCATTCTAAATATATCTTGTCTATGGAAAATGGGACTTGAGAAAGTCCAGTGGATAATAAAAGATTACTAGGCTTGATGGATAAGCATTAAGTACTCCTAGATGTTTTAATGAGCTACTGTTTAGAACCTTTTTCATCTCGTGGCACATGTAAACTAATTACCAAAATATATACTTTTTACTGCTCTGACAAAAAGAATAGTTGTAATTTGTAATTTTGATTTATTCACACCAGATGGCTGTTTTGTTGGCTGTTGCCATTTTTTTTTTTTTTTATCCTCACCCGAGGACATTTTTTGTTCAGATAGAGAGGGAGGGAGAGAGAGGAAGAGAGAGAGAGAGAGAAACATCGACGTGAAGGGACACATCGAGTGGCTGCCACCCGCACGACCAACCAGGGCCGGGGACAAACTGCAACCGGCTGTTGCCATTTTTTATTTGACAGTACATATAAGGGAAAAGAAGTCCGTGCCCCTGACTAAATAGTCAGGAATTGCATGTTTTAAAAATTGTTGTGGCAAGGGGGATGGGGAGGAGGGTGTCAATGGGGAAGGAAAGGAGAAACATCTGTAACAAAAATAAATTAATTAAAAATTAAAAAAAAAATTGTTGTGGCACACTGGTTGAAAATCACTGGTTTAGAGCAATATTCTCAAAGTGTGGTTCAAGAACCCCCTGGGGTTCCAAGAACCTTCATGGACTCTACAAGATTTCACTTTTTCAATTACATATTGGTGTGAGGCTAGATTTCTTTCTGTGTACTTCAGGCATGATAATGTAACTCAACAGCTTAAATGCAGAAGCCAGAGATGAATCTCACTGTTCTGCTAAGCTAGACGTTAAAATATTTGTAAAAGTGAAAAACAATAAAAGTAGGTTTTTTATGTTAATATATAATGGATTTGTTATTTTTAAATGAATTAATGCATAATTGTAAAACCTTTTCAGTTTTAATTACTAATATGGTGAAATTGGAAGATATAACTTACATAAAAGTTGAGTGTCTTAATAATTCTTACGAGGCTGAAGGGGTCCTGAGACCAGAGGTTTAAGATTCACTTGGTTCAAGATTTTTTCAATGTGATTTTAGTGTTCCCTTAAGAATAGAGTATTTTCTTCTGTTCAGATAAGTGCAGTGGATGCATCGCCACGGAATGTTTCGCCAGGGATTCAAAATGGAGAAAAAGGTTGGTCCTTGAACCTAGTGATTACCTGTCATTAGATTGAGAGACATTTCTTAGACTAGTGGGTATTTTTAGCTATTAATTTTGAGCCTGGTGGGTGTGGCTCAGTGGATTGAGCATCATCCCATGGACTGAGGGGTCCGGTATCCATTTCCAGTCAGGGCACATGCCCCGGTTGCAGCTTGATCCCCAGTAGGGGGCGTGCAGGAGGCAACTAATTGATGTTTCTCACATCGATGTTTCTCTCTCTTCCTCTATCTCTAAAAAAAAATCAATGAAAACATATTTTAAAAATAAATAAATCTAATCATCTAAAATTTCACCACAAAAGTCTTACCAAGTTTACTTAAGATTTTATGTCACTAAAATATTTTTTTTAGGCTTAAGCTGTTTTTCACAGTACTTCATTGAATAACTTGGTGACATCCTAGAAAACTTGCAGGTTTTTACATAGATTATCTTTGTAGAATAAGAGCTCAACTCATATAGTTCCTTGCATTTTTCTATTATAATTAAGTGACTTTTCCTCGTTTGTATAGCATGTGATTGTTTTCAGTAGTGTCATAATTTCATTCCCTATTAAATTGATTGAACTAATAAACATAACTTTGCATTATGGTCTATTGCAAAGAATATTGGTAGGAGTTAGACTTGGTTCAGATGTGATCATAGTCATGTAGCCTGTCTGGATTTTTGTATCCATTTCTAAAATATGTACTAAAATGGTCTAAATAATTTTTAGGAAGCTAAAGTTTTTTCGTTTCTGAAGTAAAACTATGCATTGGCATTTTAAAAACATTGCAGTGCTATTTACAATAGCTAAGATCTGGAAACAGCTCAAGTGACTGTTGGTAGATGAGTAGATAAAAAAGCTGTGGTACATTTACAAAATGGAGTACTATGCATCTGTTAGAAAGATCTCTTATCCTTTGAGATGACATGGAAGGACCTGGAGAGTATTATGCTAAGCAAAACAAGCTAAGCAGAGAAAGACAAATATCACATGATCTCATTTATTTGTGGAATATAATGAACAAAATAAGCTGATGAACAAAATGGATTCAGAGACATGGAAGTAGGGAACAGACTGACAAACCTCAGAGGGAAGGGGCGTGGGAAGGCAGGAAGAGAGAAACCAAAGAACTTGTATGCCTATATGCACAACCAAGGGACACAGACAACAGTGTGGTGAAGTCAGGGCAGGCGGGAGCGGAGAGGAGGGTCTCAATGGGGGAGAAAAGGAAGGACGTCTGTAATATTTTCAACAATAAAGAGAAATAAAAAAAAATACATTGCTATCAGGTAGAAATGGACTTAGTGTTTTAAAATGACTCATTTACGTCTGTGCTGTTCTTTAGAGGACCGCTTCTTAGCAGCCCTGTCCAGTCAGAGCTCCAGCGGCTCTGCCCACCTGCAGCTGCCCACTCCCCCTGAGGCCCTGCCCGAGCAGCCGGCCGGAGGGCCCCCGGAGCCGGACACAGCCAGCGCTCCCGAAGGTACCGCTCCCGGCACTGTCCCGTGCTATCCGAAAGAGACGAGCGCTCTGAACGCTTTGACACTGCTCCTACCCTTAGAATTGACAAATATTATACTGTTGAATGTCCTTTTTTAGATACAGCTCTTTACCATATCACTTCTTTAGTTGCTCTGTTTGACATGTAAATATCTCAGTAACAAAATGTTATTCAGCTTCGTCTACTTTCCGGGGGTGTTACTTTATGAAGCCCCATAAAGCACATGATTGTTATCTTCTAAGAAAATAAGAAAAATTGCAGCATTTCTACAACAACAAATAGATGTTTCACTAATAGCAATTGTATGCCTTGCTTCTCTCTTTCCTTGCTTTCTATTTAAGCAGCTACCTAATTGTAGTGCATACTTAAAAAATAACTTTTCAATTGTAATTAAACTCACATGTAATAGCCACAGTGCACATAATCGAGCTGAAGTGGCAATAGGAACAGCCATGACTAGTTCATGCATGCTCAGGCAGTAATTCCGTCGTGACCTCTGCCATTCATTGTAGGTGGGTCTCAATTTCAGGAATGCTAAAACGTAAAAGTATGAACCCCTTGCAGTCGGTGCTCAGTTTGTTTTCACTGTTGCTTTCTGTTTCAGTCCATAATAGTTATTATTCCAGATCTTAAATGTTACACCATAATTGGTCATCATCATGTGCAAATGTTTGAGTTCCAAAAAGTAAATAAAGTTGATGCTTTATATGTTTTTTTTACTCTTCTGAATATTAACATGTAAGTAGAATATTTTTTATCCTAGATGTGTTTGATGGACATTTGCTGGGATCCACAGACAGCCAGGTGAAGGAAAAATCAACCATGAAGGCCATCTTTGCTAATCTGCTTCCAGGAAACAGCTATAACCCTATTCCATTTCCTTTGTAAGTATTATAAAAGCCAGTGGCTGTGGGGTGGTTTTGTTTTTACTTTGTTAAAAATCTACCTAGATTTACTCTCTATACATTTAAATGTGTTTAACTGTATATCTCTATTTCCCAATCCTAAATTACATTTCATCATAATAAAAGAGATGTCTTTTGGTATAATGTAATTTGTAGAACATCATTGTTATATGTAGATGAGTAGATGAAAAATGATTAACTAACGTTGCTTAATGCTTAAAATTACTGGTTCTGTAAATAATTCTTCATATATATTGAAATATTTACTGTTACATCTTTTGATCTCATAATCCTAAAAACACATGGCTGATTATATCTGAGGATGATATTGTATTGATCCAGTAAGTTATTGGGACACATTACTTTTCTAACAGTGGTGATAAATTACAGTGGCCCATAGGATTTTCAAGTGACCTTGTTTATACTGGGCTTGCCACAGTGGGAAAAAACATAGACCGGCTGTGAGAATTTAATTTTCTTCTGCTTGTTGACCTGTTCGGTTGTCAGATGCTGCTTAATAAGGACTTTATTCTTAACTGGCGTCTGTATTTATTTATCCTGTCAATATTTAAATTTACTGAGTGCCAGCTCTAGTGCCCCAGGATGTAGAACAAGATTAACAAGGAGAAAATCACTGCTCTCAGGAGTGCTTGCAGCTCACAGTCTTGGGAGAGAGGAGCAGATTCACAATACAGGAACCTCACATACTACAGAGGGAGGCAAAAGGAGGTTCACAGTTGTTCATATGGAAAATAATACAATAATTAATAAATAATACAAGAGTGAATTCTGTGTTTCACGTACTCACAACTCTAAACCTACTATTGCCCCACCCTGTGTAGTAGGAGTAGTATGTAAACGGTGCTTGTTTCCTGTGCTTTAGACTCAGATATCTTTGTTTCCTGACTGGTTATGGTCCCTCTTGTTTTATGGCTGTTGGACATGTTCTTGCTTTCCTCTTAGTCATTAACTCCTATGCATTATTGTTTCTCAGAAAGACTTTACTAGACCCTTCCCCAGCTCCCTGTCCCAACCAGGTTAGGTCTCTTTGTCATATGTGCTATGATTCCTTCATGGCACTTATCACAGAGGGTAATTCTATTTTTTAAAAAATTATTTTTTTTTGTTTTTGTTACAGATGTTTCTCCTTTTTCCCCCATTGACACCCTCCTCCCCATCCCCCTTGTCCCATCCCAGCTTTGTTGTCTATGTCCATTGGTTATGCGTACATGCATATAAGTTCTGTGGTTTATTTCTTCCCCCAACACCCCCTCTTCTGAGGTTTGTCAGTCTGTACCCCACCTCTATGTCTCTGAGTCAGTTTTATTCATTAGTTTGTTTAGTTCATTATATTCTACAAATAAGTGAGATCATGCGATATTTGTCTTTCTCTGCTTGGCTTGTTTCGCTTAGGATAATACTCTCCAGGTCCCTCCATGTCGTCTCAAAGGATAAAAGATCTTTCTTTCTAACAGATGCATAGTACTCCATTGTGTATATGTATCACAGCTTTTTCATCCACTCATCTACTGATGGACACTTGGGTTGTTTTCAGATCTTAGCTATTGTAAATAGTGCTGCTTTGAACATAGGGGTATATACATTCTTTCTGATTGGTGTTTCAGGCTTCTTAGGGTATATTCCTAGAAATGAGATCGCTGGGTCAAATGACAGTTCAATTTTTAATTTTTTGAGGTAACACCATAGTGTTTTCTACAGTGGCTGCACCACTCTGCATTCTCACCAGCAGTGTACTAGAGTCCCCTTTTCTCCACACCCTTGCCAACACTTGTTATTTGATGATTTGTTGATGGGGCCATTCTGACAGGTGTGAAGTGATACCTCATAGTTGTTTTAATTTGCATCTCGCTGATGACTAGTGATGTTGAACATTTTTTCGTATGTCTCTTGGCCATTTGTGTGTCCTTTGTGGAGAGGTGTCTGTTTAGTTCCTCTGCCCATTTAATTGGGTTCTTTGTCTTCCTTTTGTAGAGTTGTATGAGTACTCTGTATATTTTGGCAATTAATCCCTTATCTGATGCATCATTGGCAATTAGGGTCTCTTATATAGTGGGTTCCCTTTCTATTTTGATGATTGTTTCTTTTGCTGTACAGAAACTTTTTAGTTTGATATAGTCCCATGTGTTCATTTTTTCCTTTGTTTCTCTTGCCTTAGGTGTTGAGGTAATTATATTTGTTATAGGATTACTTGTTTCTTTATCTCGCTGTATGTACACTCGACCATCCCTGTTTTTTTTCACTATTATATTGTTAACATCTTAGGTGCTTAGTAATAGTTATTCTTAGTGTTGTGTCTGGCACATTAGGTGTTCAGTAAATAGCTGTTAGATGAATGAATGTTTCTGTAGGGGGATAGGGTGGAAGTGGGGGGAGCAGGATTGGGTTAAAATGGAGTTACACCACGGTTTCCACACGCTGATAGGAAAGCAGCAGTGTTATGTTATTTCTTGTTGGACTAGTATTACGTTTCCACAATTCCTAGAAGACTTTTCTTTCAAGCTTATAGTAGAACAAAATCTTTTACACTTCTGTTCATTGCAAATCCTACTTGAGACAAATATGGTGTAAAGTCTTGGCAGTGTGGAAAACCCTTGGAGTGACTATTCAGAATCCTCTGATTTGAAAAATAATTTTGATAATTTTTAATTGCCTTCAAAATTTTCTTTTGATATATTTTCCTTGGCTCTTTGGTACAAGTTCTACATACATTTTAGCTTATTTAATTATATTTTTATAGTGGTGCAGTATAGAGTTACAGTTGTCCTGAGATTTACTTGCAATGTGTTGTTTGTATATTGGATTTTTTGATAATTTTGTTCTTATTTAATAATTTATGTATTTAAAAATTGTGAACAGTGACCCCGATAAACACTACTTAATGTATGAACACGAACGGGTGCCCATTGCTGTCTGTGAGAAGGAACCCAGCTCCATCATTGCTTTTGCTCTCAGGTATTATTCATAAGGCCTTTGCAGCTGTGGCCACATTTCCATATTCTATGTGTATGTATTAATTGCCTTATGTTGAGATGTGTCACATAGACTAGAGCAAACTGATTAAATATAAGTAAAAACATCTCTTTGGGCATGATAGCTTATTTTTTTGTATCTGAAAATGTATTTTTTACCCAACTAATTACAGGATGATTCTTTTTAAACAAAATTATTTATTTATTTTAGAAGAAAGGAGGGAGGGGAGGAAGAGAGAGAAGAGAGAGAGAGAGAGAGAGAGAGAGAGAACATTGATTTGTAGTTTCTCTTATTTATGCATTCATTGGTTGATTCTTTTATGTGCTCTGACTGGGTATTGAACTTGAAACTTTGGTGTATAGGGACAGTGTTACAGTGTTCTAAACAACTGAACTACTTGGCCAGGATGAGTCTTAAGCAAGCACCTAATAACTAAATTGGCTAGGCAAGTTATTTACTAATCCTTATATCCTCTAACTGTTCTCCGTATTATAGTATGTATCTGTTGTATCCCTTCCTTCGATTTACTTATCGACATAATAACTTAGATTGTATCTGCTGTATATCATCTGAGTATCTTTTTTTTGTACTCTTCATTTCCTTCCTGCTTTCCACACATACCATGTAAAGTTTCTTTCTTAGAGTAATACTGTTCTTATGCCTTAACCCATTTATATACCCACAGCTACCATGTGTCTTAAAGAAGCTTCTGTACCCTGCCATTTGATTTATCTAAATCAGGGGCCCCAGACTTCTAGTCCAAGAGTTGGATTTGTTGTTTTTTTTTTTGTCAATGCAATATAAAATTTTTTTTATAACATTTTAAATTGAAAAGCACTCTCAAGTTCCTTTCCTCTGTATTAAACTAAACCCTGAAGCATCATACTCTTAAATCAGCTGTTTAGCAAGTATATGACTTAAGTATTAGTGTGTTGGCTTTTAGTCTTTTCTTAGGATATTAATAGTAGTTGGTGCATTGGGTTATATTTTGTATTACTCTTTCTGAAGATTTTAACCTTCTTCATGAAGTTTCTACTTGATAACTTCTTTTAGTTAAATGTGTTTGTTTAATTATGGATACTTATAATGATTGTGTTTTTATAATAAAAAGCTTATTTGAAAGTGTATGATTTATTTTAAAGGGAGAGCCTAGTGTTTAACACTTGTCACCCTGTTTCTACCCTAAGTTGTAAAGAATACCGAAACGCCTTAGAGGAACTGTCCAAGGGGACTCTGCGGAACAGTGCCGAAGAAGGGCTTCCAGCAAACAGGTGACAGAGCAGTTCTTTTAGTCTGTTCAGTGTTCTGGACAGTCAGACAGATTGGCATAAGTTCATTATTTTGATTCTTACTGAAATAGGTTTTCCAACTTTACTGTTGTGATAAAATGTCATTTGAATTATATGCTATGATGACTAGCATGAGAAATGTGAAATTGGTATTTCCTGTGTAGGTGCTAATACAGCTCTAATGGACTTGGGGAAAATATTAAAACGTATGCTTTCATGTATTTCTCCACGCACATTTATAGTTATAACATTTTGCTTTCTTGTTTTTTTAAGTCCAATAGACATTTCAAGACTTTTTCTTCCATGTTCTAACCTGTGTTTATATAAATTATGAATCAAATTTATGATATCATGAGTTGGGTAGGTGGGGAATAGATTAATGCAGCAATCAGAGTACTTGCTATTTTCTGTCTGAACAGTGTAAAACCATCCCCTTACGTTTTTCATTTTAGTACTTTGGACAGCAGACCAAAGAGCAGCAGCCCTGTTAGGTTACCTGAGAGCAGCGGAGGACAGACAGGCCGGACAGCAGAAGCAGAACCACAACCAAGTAAGATTACCAGTGGAGAAGGAGTTCTTACTAGTGTTGTTTGTAGTTGTGGTTTGAAGAAGGAAACAAATTAAGAAATGCCATCTAGCAAGGATTTTATTACTTCTGGTCTTTGAAATATGTGGATTGAAATATTTTTGTATATCCTCTTTTATACATATTTTGCTTTTCTTTGATTCCTAAGTTTATTGACTTTGGGACTCCTAGAAACTCAGGTCTATGCAAAAACAGGCAGGATCTCTGCCTTCCTACTTACTACAGCTTTTGGTTTAAAGTTTACAACTTAAGAAATATAACAGCAGCTTTCTGTTGTTGGTTTTATAGTGTTGTCAGCATTGTGACAAGAATTAACGCATTGGCTCTTTAATCCACACACTAACCGCCTAAGAGTTATTTAGCATAGCCCCATTTTTCAGAAAGTTGAAACTTAAATTAAGCAATTTGCTCAAGACTATACAGCTGATAGACAACTGGGATTTGAACTTGGCTCTTTGTCAGTTAGGAATGTATCCACTATGAGTAACAGAAAACTCTTGGCTATTGGGGTTTAAAAAATGACAGTTTATTTTTCTAAAATAACCATATCTGTGGGGAGACAATTGATGGTAGTGATTTAGCCACTCAGCATTGTCATGACAACATAGGTAGGGGTAGTTAGTTTTTCTGTGATTCTCTTAAGTTTTACTCATGATCAGAAATGTTCCATTTGCCCTGGCCAGTTTGTTTCAGCGGTTAGAGTGCAGGCCTGAGGACCAAAGGGTCTCAGATTCGATTCCTGGTCAAGGGCACGTACCTGTGCTGCAGGTTTGATCCCTGGTCCCAGTTGGGGTCATGCGAGAGGCAACCAATGATTATTATTGATTATTATTAATGATTATTGTGTCTCTCCCACATCAATGTTTCTCTCTCTCTTTCTCTCCCTCCCTCTCTTCCACTCTATCTTAAAAAAACAAACAAACAGGAAAAATATCCTTGGGTGAGGATTAACAATAACAACAACAAAATGTTCCACTTAATGTCTGCATTTGAGGCAGAAAAAAGGGAGGTATAAGCTGCAGCTGCTCCCTTTCATTAAGAAAGCAGCAACTCCCCGCTTCAGTCTAATTTGTTAGAATGATTCTGTGGCCACCCCTCTCTGCAAAGGAGACTGAGAAAGTAGTGAGCATTGTCCTGGTTGGCTCATAGAAATCCATTTCCTGGGCTGTACACGTGGCTGCCCCCTTCTCCTTGAATTGGAGTCCAGTTAGCAAGGAACAAGGTGGGATTAGATATTAAGGAGACCATACTGGTTTCTGACACCCTAAGTAAGCACTTTACAATTAACATTTGATAAGGGTTTTTAGACTGTAAACGTCCAAGATTACAATCATATATACTAAGCTCATAGATCATACATATTAAGTTCCAAAGTAAGAATAAAAGTATGGAGCAAGCTTTAGTAATATTTTTGACCATCCTATACTACTTTCTGAGAAATGGTAAAAAAAAAAATCTTATATTTTGTTGTGTTAAAATGTAAGAACAAGTGATGAAAAGCAAGGACCTACAACTGCAATTACTCTACCCATCAAAGCTATCATTTAGAACTGAAGGTCAGATAAAGAGCTTCCCAGACAAGAAAAAGCTAAAGGAGTTTATCACCACTAAACCAGTATTACATAAAATGTCAAAGGGTCTTCTTTAAGAAGAAGAAGAAAAAAAAAGATTTAAAATATGAACAGTAAAATGACAATAAATACGTATCTATAAATAATTGAATTTCAAAATCAAGATAAACAAGCAGAACAGAAACAGACTCATAGATACAGAGAACATTTTGATGGTAGCCAGAGGGGAGGGCTGTTGCAGGGATGGGTGAAAAAGGTGAAGGGATTTAGAAGTACAAATTAGTAGTTATACTGTAGTCATGGAGGTGTAAAGTGCAGCATAGGGAATATAGTCAGTAATAATCTAATAACTATGTATGGTGTCAGATGGGTATGAGATTTTTTTTTGAATAATTCCTTAATAAGTTTTATAATGTCTAATCACTGGATTGTACACTTGAAACTAATATAATATTGTATGTCAACTGTAATTGCCAAATAAAAAATGAATTAAAAAAAAAATGTAAGAACACAGCCTGGCTGGTGTGGCTTAGTGGTTGAGCATCGACCTATGCACTAAGAGGTCTCCAGTTTGATTCCCAGGCAGGACACATGCCCAGGTTGTTGGCCAGATCCCCAGTGCGGGGCGTGCAGGAGGCAGCCAGTCAGTGTTCTCTCCTATCGATGTTTCTATCTCCCTCCCTCTCTCTTTAAAATCAATAAAGAAAAAAAAATTAGAAAAAAAAAAAGTAAGAACACAAGTTATATGAAGGTAGTACCTTTAACTTTGGATTCTCATAGCTTGAAATATTGTTTTATATTATTTTAATAGTAATGCTATAAGAATTCAGCTCTAACTTAATCTTGTTGCTTAAGATATATGACTGTCTTAGAAAGATATTTTCAAAGATTTTATTCGGATTTCTCACATATTGATATATAGCTGTCTGACTGTTGTTCTTTTTCTGTTTCTGTTAATGACAGTGCTTGACTGCCCCCCTCCAAACCCATAAAAGCTGTGGAATAATAATCTGCAAATGAAAGTATCAGGGCTACTAATATTTATTGCCCGTAGAAAATGGTTACTGCAAACAAAGGAATGAGTTAAAAATTTTAATTTTCCACCTGTAGTGACCTGTACCTAATATGTGGCCTCTTATTTTTAAAGCCAAAAAGGCTTCTGGAATGTTGTCCTTCTTCCGCGGGACAGCAGGGAAAAGCCCTGATCTGTCTTCCCAGAAGAGAGAGACCTTACGCGGAGCAGATAGCGCTTACTACCAGGTCGGGCAGACGGGCAAGGAGGGCACGGAGAATCCAGGCGCGGAGCCTCCAGGTGTGTTAAAGGGGCCTGCATGTGCTTACTCCAGGCTCTCATTTTGATAAACTTATTGTGGTTGCCTTAGGTTCCTTAGAGCCCTTAGTAGGTAACTCTTACTGCTGAACCAGGGCACTCCGTTCTCTCCTCACACCTCAACGTGGCCGCGTGGAAGAGCGTGGTGCTCGGAGAGTCCCCCTGGCTTCACAGGTCCTTGCAGCCACTTACTGTGCTGTAGTCAGAAATCCTTAGTTTCTGTACCTGTGAAATGGCAAAAGCAGTGTTTCCCAAGGTTTACTGCGGACTAAGTGCCATTACACGTGTAAGCATCTGTCTTCTGTGTAACTCAGTATATATTCAGATGTTTTTCTTCCATCAACCCCTCAGGTGTTTCCTTTCTTTTCCAGTTCCTATCATGTTGAGGCTATTGCTGTCCACCTTCATTTTTATATTTAAAAATACATGTCTGCCTGACTGCTTGAGTATGGAGTTAGATCAGGAGTCAGACAACTATGCTGACCTATTTTTGTAAATAAAGTTGTATTGGATTAGAGGCACACCCATTCATTTACGTATTGTCTGGCTGCTTTCATGTGTATATTGGCAAGTTGAGTAATTGCAACTGAGTAAAATACTTAACATCGGGCCCAAATAGACTAGCAACCCCTGCGTTAGATCATGAATTAGTAGTTTATTTAAAACATAGCCACTGCGTGATACATTTTCATTAGTGTTTAAGTTATCTGTTTAGTATTCTACAGGCTGCTATTGTTGGTTGTGATCCTTGGAAGGCATTGGTGCTTTGAAAAAAAAATTTTTGAAATACGAAACTTAGAGGATGTCTTGTTCTAGATGTTAAAAAGTATTCCAGATCTACAGTAATTAGAGTGGATGTGGCAGTAGGTTTGTCAGACAAATCAGTCAGATATAAAACACAAGTAGCTCTGAAGCAGACACTAATATATTGTATATAAATATCTCAGTATATGTAAAGAAAGCATCACAGACCTTTGGGGAAGCATTATTACCCACATAGGGGAAACGTCATGAAATCTGAAGCTGTGGAAAATCTTGGTATAAGAGCTGAGTTAATATGTTGCTATCATAGAAATCACTTAAATATAAGAAAAATTATTATTCATCCTAAATTCTCTATTTTTTAAAAAAATTGATCTTCTAAAGGTACATGCAGTTTTATTGTAATAGTTTATTATAAAAATTTTACACATAATGCTGGCACGAGATTGGCTTGACTAGGATAAAGCGGGGACCTGCCAGTCTCGACTGTTGTGTCGGGGGGGGGAAGAGCAGGCAGCGTGAAGCCTTGACTGTTGACCACTTTGGCCTGACTGATGGTTCACCTTTCAGATGAAGTGGATGGAGGAGACACACAAAAGAAGCACCTCACAAACCCTCACGTGGAGCTTCGTAAGTATGAGAGAAAATGTGGGTTTGGGGACGGGGACTTTAATTGAGCAGACTCTATTATTTGAGGCTTCTAGCTATGTACTAAATAGAGTACTTTTTGAAGTGAGTAAGTCTTTGTGCTGACGTACATTTATTTAATCTAGATTTAATTCATAAAATATACATTATTCATTTATAAAGAAAGTTAACTTGTACATTTAGTTGAAATTATAATTTAACCCATAAATTATAATTTGCTTTCATTTCTAGTGTTTTAATGATTATTGTGTAATCTAGAGCTAGAGAGCCTCGACAAGGTATCTAGAATTGTCTGTCTGTGTATATGTAGATGCTAGAAGTGATCACCCAGAATATGATATACAGTAAAGTTTAAGATGTAAATGTACAATGATGAAAAGAGAGTAACCCGTCTGAAATGAGAACTGGGTCTTATATTATGTGTGCCGTTTCTGTAAGTATGTAAAGGGGTCATCAGGTGCTCTCTTGTCCTCCCTAAAAATGACTTTCACAAAATTTTGATAATTTTAGGGATATAGTAGACTCAACATGGAAAATGCTGTCATGGAGAAAATTCAGTGGTTGCATGTGGTGGGGGTGTGGAATTGGGCAAGAGGGAAAAGAGGTTTCTGATTCATAAAAGCTTTTTTTTGTTAACACTTCTGTTTACAGAATTTTCCGATGCTAATGCCAAGTTTTATTGTCGGCTCTACTACGCCGGGGAGTTCCATAAGATGCGCGAAGTGATTTTGGGCAGCAGTGAAGAAGATTTCATCCGCTCCCTGTCGCATTCGTCGCCCTGGCAGGCCCGAGGCGGCAAATCGGGGGCCGCCTTCTACGCCACTGAAGGTGAGCCTGTGTCCACCGGCCCGAGCGTCCTCCGCAGCCGGTTGTGGGCGCCAGAGCGGAGGTCGTATGCCAGCTGGCGGAGTCTTCTGTTTTTCTGTTTATACTTGATGCTGTGTCATAAAATACTTAAAAGAGTATACATATATAGGGTGTGTAATTAGAGACAAACATCGATCACATTCTTACTAAATTCTCTCTAGTCCTGAGTGTTCCAAATGGAAATAATTAACAGAGAACTTCCAGAAAAGGGTACCTCGGAGCAGATGAGAGAAAGAGAAAAATGGAACATTTCACCTGAAAGTAGGAAGGCCAGGATTCTGACCACCAGGTTTCCTGACGGTCGTGACCATCCGCTCTTCACATCCGTTCTGCACACCCACCGAGAGCAGCCATTGCCATCATTCAGCGGGTGGCTTGATCAGAACTTCCGTAACATTACTTAGTGGATTGCTAGCAAAGGAAAACATAAAGTTTTTATAAGATTTTAGTAGTTTTAGAAAGTAGATCAGGCCCTGGCCAGTGTGGCTCAGTGGTTAGCATGTGGCCTGCACACTGAAGGGTTGTGGGTTCAATTCCCGGGCAAGGGCACTTCTCTGGGTTGCAGGTTTGGTCCCCAGCCCCAGTCAGGGCACATGAAGGAGGCAACCAATCGATATGTCTCTCTCACACCCATGTTTCTCTCTCTTTCTCTCTCTCTCTCTCATACCCCTCCTTCCTCCCTTTCTCTCTAAAAAAAAATCAGTGGAAAAAATATCCTTGGGTGAAGATTCACAAAAAATAAATAAGCAGATCAGCTATGAATTTAGGGATGGTACTTGGCAAAGTAGAGATTTCTTGACTATATAAATCCTCAGAAGCCTTCCCAGCGTTTAGTTTCTTGAGAACTATGTTCTGATGAGGAGTTTCTCTGTAACATCAGAACATATCTCTTAAAAACATGAAGCAACTACGTCATTTGGGATCTTTGGAATGCGTTATTATAGATGACCTCAGTAAATAATTGTGATTGAGTAAACACATGACATTTCTGCCTTTTAGATGATAGGTTCATTTTGAAGCAGATGCCTCGTCTGGAAGTCCAGTCTTTCCTCGACTTTGCACCACACTACTTCAGTTACATTATAAATGCCGTTCAGCAAAAGGTACACACCTCAAACCTTGGTTTGCAACTGGGGCTCAGGGGGCTTTTTTACAGCCTCAGAGTTAGTCCTAACGAGCGTTTCCTGTGTGGTGAGGTGTGACCAGGACATACTGGGTCTCTGTCACGCTACAGAGATGCGCTGGAATGCAGTGCTTCCAGACTCCTTCCTGCCGTTGCCGTGAGCAAACAAGATCTCAAGCAGGTTGCATTTACTTAGTATGTATGTGTCAGTGAAAAACACTAAGACTGGATGAAAATAGCTGAGCATTTAGTAATCAGTAATTCTGCTGAGACAGAAATTTGAAATGTATGTTGAGAAATGAGGGCATGGATCCCTTGGGCAGAAAGAGAGGAGCCAGTGGCCCAGGTTTGTCCAGTTGTCGTTGAGCGGTGCCCCTCCCAGAGAAAATATGAGGGAGCCATGTGGATTTTTTTCCCATTTATGGTTTATTGCATGTTACTGGGGAAATTCTGTGTCATAATAAAATCAGTGAATCTGAGCCATTGTGGAGGATTATCCCTTGGGGGAGCTGATCTTTTTATTGGCATTGCTGCTTCGCTTGCTCCTGGGATTCAAGGGCTCAGGCTTCTTTCGAGGCCCTCTGACTGTTCGTGTTAATAGAAGTCATTAGAACATTACATGCATAATCCAGATGTTGTATTAAATTACAAATAATCCTTTTCGATAGGAGTTTACTCTTTGTTTTCTTGATTAGAGGCCCACTGCATTAGCCAAAATTCTTGGAGTTTACAGAATTGGTTATAAGAATTCTCAAAACAACACCGAGAAGAAGTTCGATCTCCTTGTCATGGAAAATCTTTTCTACGGGAGAAAGATGGCACAGGTAAGAATGTTGCACTCTGCAAAGCACTTCCCTACTGGAACCCTTTATACTTCTGGTTTCTGAACATACCGAATCAAAAATAACATCCTGTTCGATAGTACTTGTTAAACTGTAGCTGGTAGGGCAGATTTAACTTTGGCTTGTTGAACCCTGTATGGAAGAATAAAGAGAAATATTGTGAGCTGATTCTAAAATTGAACATCTCCAATGTCCTAGAAACACAGAAGTATAGGGTTAGAAGGCACATCTACTTACTCCATCTCAGTTTTAAACATGAAGAAACTGAGGCCCACAGAAATGAAGTACTGTATGGCAGTCACACAGATATTTCTAGAACTCAGTTTGGTCTACATTCTAGAGCAGGACTCTTCAAAGTGCTGGTCCTTGAAGTGTTTCCAGCCTGTAGTGAGATAGGAGCTTGTACCAGAATGTAATTCAGTGCACGGCTTTCTTCACTGAGAAGGTCTTGCTGTGAGAAAAACAGCTGCTGAACTGGACCATGTGCTTCATGATGTTACTGACTAACATTCCGGCGCCAGTTCCTTATGTCGTCACGAGCCTGGAACAACCGACTAGCAGTGGTCTGTCCAGTGCACTTCAGGCTGAACCGGTCTGGTATCCAAGTCCCCTGACTTGCCACCACCCCAAAATTCCTCAAGATAGGCTGTTGCTTCTCCATTGCCATGAGTAATCGCACAGAGTTTTGGTATCAAAACTTCTAAGTGTCCTGAGACTGTTTGCATCAGGTTTCTAAACTGCCTTTCAATCCAGCGATATATTTTTGGAGTTACTTGTCAATGTTTCTGAAAGTTGATTAAATGGGTCAGTTATTTCTGAAATGTTTCAGTAACTTAGTACTTGGTATTAATTTCATATGATACAATTATATCACACGTATTTTATGTATTATACAATTATAATGCATGCATTTAATGGCATGTTAAGTTTTTATATTAACTTAAAACTTGTATATAATGGTAGTGGCTATAGGAAACCTTTCTGCCTGTTTAATTTAACTACATTAATCATTTGTAGCAACTCACATATGACCATATTTTCTTCCTGCCAGGTTTTTGACTTGAAGGGCTCACTTAGGAATAGGAATGTGAAAACTGATACCGGGAAGGAGAGTTGTGATGTCGTCCTGCTGGATGAGAATCTTTTAAAGATGGTGCGGGACAACCCTCTGTATATCCGTTCTCATTCCAAAGCTGTGCTGAGAGCCTCGATCCGCAGCGACTCCCACTTCCTTTCTAGCCACCTCATTATAGATTATTCTCTGCTGGTTGGGCGAGATGACACCAGCAATGAGCTGGTTGTTGGAATCATAGGTAAGTTTTTACGCATACCTTACAGTTCATGATTGAAACCAGAGTCAAATTTGAAGATTATTCTGAACCTGGTCACTAATAACTTATTGAATATTTTCATCAAGTTTCACTTAAAAATAATAGTTTTTAAATTCTGTTATATAAATAATACCTTCTATTCAGTTTTCCTCATTTTCATTATCTTTACCAAAAATACCTGTATTCAAAAAGTCACTTATAAATGAAGCCCTGTGAGGTTGTTGTGAGGATGAAATGAATAACAGGGGAAACCCTTAGGAGAACACCTGGCTTATGGTCAGCACTCAGTGAGCGCTAACTGTTGTCGGAGTGATAGCAACTACTATTGTCATTTGCCGTGTTTATTGATACACCGTTATTGCTGATATTGCTTCCTGTAACAGATTATATCCGAACATTTACATGGGACAAAAAGCTTGAGATGGTTGTGAAATCAACAGGAATTTTAGGAGGACAAGGTGAGCAGATTTTTTTTTTGTTTGTTCTTTAACCTATTCTCATGTTTTCCTTCTCAGTTAATGTTTTAAAAAATGGGTACTTTTTAATTCCAAAAAATTTAGTGGTTATCTCTGATTTTTTTTTTTAGTTTTTTTATCCTCACCCGAGGATATATTTTCATTTTTTGTTCAGATAGAGCAGGAGGGGGAGAGAGAGAGAGAGAAACATCGACGTGAAAGGGACACATCGAGTGGCTGCCACCTGCACGACCCAGCCAGGGCCGGGGACAAACTGCAACCGAGGCACATGCCCTTAGCGGGAACCGAACCCGGGTCTCTCTGGACCGCAGGCCGACGCTCTAACCACTGAGCCAAACCGGCCAGGGCGATTATCTCTGATTTTATCATAATTTCTAAAATGATTAAATAACAGCCCTGGCCAGTTTGGCTCAGCGGTTAGAGTGTCGGCCTGCAGTCCAGAGAGACCTGAGTTTGGTTCCCGCTAAGGGCACGTACCTCGGTTGCAGTTTGTCCCCGGCCCTGGTTGGGTCGTGCGGGTGGCAACCCCTTGATGTGTCCCTTTCACGTCGATGTTTCTCTTTCTCTCTCTCTCCCTCCCACTCTATCTGAACAAAAAAAAAGAAAAATGTCCTCTGTTGAGGATGGAAAAAAAAAAAAAAGATTAAATAACAGAAGGAGTTGTGTAGATGGGGAAATACTGTGTTTAAATTGATGTTACAATGCCAGAGGTACTCAAAGTAAAAAACTAAACAAAAAAAGGCCAGAGGTTCTGAATGAGAGGTTATCTTTAATTAACACTTGAAATCTTCTAAGTTCTCGGAGCACTGCTAGCCCCTCAGTGCTTTGTACATCTCTCTAGGCAAGAGCTCGTCCTTTAAAATAGAAACTCCTGCCTGGGAGGACTTGTCCCTTGTGGCTCAGTGAACAGCACCCTTCCCCTTTCTGAGACTGCGGGGGGCGGGGGGTGTGTCTTTATGGCAGTTTACATGAAAGAACATAGTTGTTGAAGTCAGTTGCCTGATCATTTACGTGACAGTTTCCTTTTCCCCTTTTTTTTCATAATTTTAGGTAAAATGCCAACTGTGGTCTCTCCAGAGTTATACAGAACTAGATTTTGTGAAGCAATGGACAAGTATTTCCTGATGGTACCAGACCACTGGACAGGTTTAGGTCTGAACTGCTGAAGTGAAGCACTTATTTTGAAAGGGACCAAGAAGGGAAGGGGGCTGGAGCAAAGGACCAAAAATAAGCTACGTTTTACTTCTCTGTCACATTCGCCACTGTTGCCCGAGGCCTTCAGCTCTGTCTGTGCGGCCATCTGTGCCCGAGGGGGAGATCCGTGGATTTGCACATCGGCCACCCCAGGCCGGAGAGCTCCGCGACCGCTTTTCACTAGAGCAGAACTGTGGACGCACTTCAGAGGTCTGAGGACAGGGTTTGGTGAGCGATGAGGAGACAGCGTGAGGAATGGGTTGTCATATTTGCCAACAGCCCTGCTAAGAAAACAGTGTTTCATAAATTGTGACTCTCTTAGCATCACATTTGACACATTCTCCACTTAAAAAACATTTGTAGAGCTGGTAAATTTTTTTGGCTTTGTTTCTTACGTAACAATCTAATGTTGCCTGTTACCAGAATTTCTGAAACCTTTAAAAATTTCTGAATAATTCTATTAATGGCCAGTTAAGCAGATGGACACAATCTGGTTTTTTTTTTTTTTTAACAGAGGAACTTGACTTAAATTGGGAATCCTGCCGCGTTGTGTGTCTTGTCGTATTTTCCAGTATGTTTGATGTTTTTTAGGTCCTGTCTTCACTTCTCTGTGGATGGCAGGAGGCCACCGCCACTAACTTTAAGCCTTGTTTCCAGAGCTATTTTTTAAGCTTGTTTACAACTTTTGTGCAATTAATATATGAAACTTCACTTACTGCACATGCTCTTAGTCTAGGTTTTCTCTTAATTTCAAGAGAAATTAGTAAATTAGTAACGAGTCTACATTGATTAGTAAATGAGTCAACAGTGATTAAATCCCCAAGGGGGAAAGGTTAATGGAGGATAGTTTTAAATGTAAAAAATAAATTAGGCCCAAGATTGGGAGCAAGGGAAGCACTTGATCACTTTTTGCAACGGTGGTGTCTTTTTCACTATAAACAGCAATTTAAGTGACATCTGTACAATTAAGAAATTTCCAGGTCGGACATCCCTGTTTCCTAACTTTCTGTACCAGTTTTTAGGCTGGTTCTGACTGTTGAGAAATGTTAAACGGGAAAATAGTCTTAGTCAGGAATTTCTTGATTAATAGAGAAGTTGTTTAGAAAGTGGTCAGAAATACAAAACAATAATAAGGTAACCCTGGCTCTTTCCTCTTAGCTTCTTTGCACAACAAGTATAATTTGGGGATTTATATAGTTGTAGAGTTCTACTCTTTTCAGGCTTCTGATAAAATAGCACATTTCTGTTGTAACATTCACATAAGAAAAAGAAATCTAGATTCATTTCAGTTTCAGAGACTGTAATACATGAAATGGGAACATTTTGCAAAATTTGCTTTAGCAAATGAAAGCATTAGTTTGGTATATGGTGATTATTAGAAACATGGTTTGTTTTGAACTAGAAACAACTTGACCAAGGACTAATGACTGATCTGATGATAAGCATTTGAAAAACAACAACATGTGGTGTGCCTTTTGAAAACCAAAACACGGTGATTTTAGTTTTGCTATCAAACGCTAGTGAAGGAGTTGAACCAGAGTGACGCACAGAGGAGCAATGGCGTCTGCATCTCGTTTTGAATGCAAACGCTCTTTAGTTCTTCTGTCTGGATCCTCTGGGTTATGTGTCCTGTCCATTCCTGCACCCCCAGTAATGAGCACTTCCAGTAGAAGTGTCTCCCCACCTATCATCAGGCCGTTTCTGTTGTAGTCTCAATGTCATGTGTGCTCCTTGGATCCTCCACTGGAATAGCTCCTGACAGTAATTATGTGACTTGCTGATTTTGTTTTCCATGTCCCTGACTTTAAGAACTACTTTTTTTTAAAGTATTGCTGCCTCGTAGATACTTCTGTGGCTTAAAAGAAAATTCCAATATAATATCTGAAGCAATACTTGCTGCCTTGCAAGGGTGATCTGTCCTTTTAAAACCATCTAAAGTTCAATTTGTTGTGAGTGGGAGAACTATAACTCCGGCCCTTGCTGCTGCTGTTTCGACCACCCACATATATAAGGTGCTTCAAATATTATGCTACTCAGTGTTGAAGCATTGGATGACTTTACCTCTCTTGAATTCCATTCTGAGGCCTGGAGAATATTAATGCTGAAAAGTTAAGAATATATAAGAAATTTTAATACTTTCTTCCTTAGAATAAAATATGAATCCTGAGAATAATTGATAGTAGCACAAGAAAGCTGTGTAAACATGTTGCATTGTATAAATTTGAAGCTTTTTGATGCCATCAAAACTTTATTAAAAAATAAAAAGGATTTACCTTTTTCTTACCCACGCCTAAGGAAAATAAGGGGAGTAAGCTGTTGCAAGCCCTTTTATAGTCTATTGAATATTTAAAATGTATAGATATTCAAAATTTCCTATAGAATGTCCTGCTTATAATTTTTTCCTTGCCCCAGCAGTGAGTGGTTTTCTAGCTCTGGCTTTTATTGGATGGTGTGAATAGTAGGGTTGTATTGGTCTTTGTGGCATTAGTTTCTCCTTGGCACTTGACCCTTTAGCAGCGGGCTTGCATCAGACTGCCAAGGAAAGTAATTTATCGGTAAAAATCCGCTTCGCTAATGAGTGGAAACTTGAGAATGAGCCTGTTGGTGAAACAGATCGGGCCATTCATTATTCCTCCAGTGTTAACATACTGACTTCTTCAGTGTTCAAAGCATCTAGTGCAATGCCTTTTTTTGTTTGTTTTTGTAACACGGGTGCAGTGTATTATAGAAAAATTACAATTACAATTATGAGCATTTTTATTAATGCCTCTGTGCTGGTTTTGTAAAAAAAATGTACATTATGTCTTTCGACAGGTTTAATTTTAACTAGAGAAATTATATTGTAAATCATAATGCCTCTTTTAACTTAGTATCTACAGTTCAATTAATTATATTGAAAATACCAAATGTATTATATTGTATATATTTCTCTACTTTGGTTCCAGCTGTTTTATATGATTGACATGTTATTTAAGAAATAAAACTGCCTTTACCTTTTAAAGACTTATACTGTAAATAAAGAAGACTTACAGTAAACTGAGAATCAGCTTCATTTAGTTTTGAATCTGCTTGAGAAAATTGACAGGAGGCACTGGAGTTTGTCATGCAGACCTGGCCCCGGGCCTGGCCCCTCGGTTCATACTCTCCCCCTTTGCTTTTGGAGAATTTAAATCTCTCACTAATAAGTAGCCCTTCTCCTTACATCCTGGAAAGGGGGACTTGAGTTTGGGGGTCCCTTCTGCCAGTAAGTAGCTGTCCACCTTTTCTGCTGGGAATGTTGAGTTCGCCTTAGTTTCTTCCGCGTGTTCAGAATTTACCTAAAGTAGATCCATCGTGGCGCAACCTGCAGCTGTGGGCACGGCTGCCTACCTTATGGTGCCTGGACGCATGGCGGAGTGAGAGCCACTGGCTGAGGGTGGCACCTCTTCCCGAGGGCATGGGGGCACCACCTGTTTGCTTTTCCCTTGCAGTGGAGCATAAGGCACAGGTACCTAGTTCTCTGTCCTTACTACCCTAGAAGTCTCTTGTGTTGGAAATTATTATTTTTTAATCACCCAAGGCTATTTTTCCATTTTTCTTCAGAGAGAGAAACATTGATATGAGAGGGACACATTGACTGGTTGCCCCCTGCACGACCCCGACCAGGGCTGGGGACTGAACCACAACCCAGGTACATGGCCTTGACCAGAATCGAACCCGCAACTCATCGGTCTGCAGGGTGACTGACGCTCTAACCACTGAGCCAAACCGACCAGGGCTGGATATTATTTTCTTATTAAATTTCTGGAGTAAAGCCTTATGAAGCTAAATTTTTTTAAACCTAATTTTTAAAATTGTGGTAAAAAATAACAAAATTTATTCATCTTAACCACTTTTAAGTGTATGGTTCAGTGGTGTTAAACATACCCACATTAGGCGATGCATCGACAGAACGTGCTCATCTTGCGAAACAAACGATTCCCATTAGAGGACTCCTCTTTTCCCCCCTCACCCCTCACCTGGCCCCTGGTAACTGCAATTCTGCTTTCTGTTTCCACGAAGTTGACAACGCTAGATTCTTCATAAATATTTGTCTTTTTGTGATGGGCATATGTCACTTAGTGTAATGTCCTCAAGGTTCATTCATGTTGTAACATTTCCTTCCTTTTTTAAGGTTGAATAATAATTTATTGTATGTATGTATTTACAACATTTTAGGAATGCATCACCAGTGGGCATTTGGATTGCTTTCACCTCTTGGCTGCTATGAACAGTGCTGCTGCAAACATGGGAGTGCAAATATATCTTTAAGATCCTTTTTAAGTTTTTTTGGTAAATACCTAGAAGTGGATTGCGGGATCATGGTGGTTCCATTTTTTAACAATATGAGAAAATTCCATACTTTTTTCCATAATAGTCGGACAATTTTACAATCCCACCTACAGAGCACAAGGGTTCCAACTTCTCTACACCCTCTCCAACATGTTTGATTTATTTATTTACTTATTTATTTAATGGTAGCCATCCCCATGGGTGTGAGGTAATAGCTCGCGGTTTTGATTTGAACTTCTCTGATGACTGACGATGTTGAGTATATGGGTAATATATGCTTGTTGGTCCAAGTAAAAGGGAGTTTTTTAGTCCATAACTGTTTTTAAAAATACAATCTCTTCTACTTGAAATCCTGTTATCTGCAACAATTACACACTACCATCACTAGGGAGAGAAATTTTAATTCATTCAGCTTGCAAAAATATGCCTTGAGGTAGCACCAGATGGTTGTGACCCTGTGCACAGATGTGCATTGTCACCTGGCCAGAGCACACTCCGGGGAGCACGGCAGCCTGAGCCAGGCGCCCGGCGTTGCCCTCATCTCTGCCTTTTAGATTCTCGTCTTGAAAGTGCTACTGACCATCAAGGTGGTTCAAGAAGCCCTAGGTGTAATTACTTGTCCTTTAGCTGTTGGCAGCAGAGCTTGGTAGGTACTTCTAGATTTTTCTACATAGAATTTGATGGGCATGTCTGCTGCTAACCTGCTGCTTCATCTAGGGAAAAGCTGTCTGGCAGCTCCAGCCCCCAGACTCTGAGGGTCATCATCCCCTCCAGGGATACCACTTAAAGTGCCACCTACAACACGACGTCATTACAGAGCTGCTCCTTAGGAGAGCCTGCCTCACGCTGCTAATGAAGAGCACACCCTGGTGCTCTAGAAGTGGTTCCTCTGGTGACGTCTGTTTGACTGTATAGGGGCCTTGTTGAATCTTTTCCATGTTCATCTCTGAATGCCCATAGGTGGAAACGAGAAGAATTACTCTTAATTTCAGAGGACTGCACTTTGCGTCTGTCTGTCGAAGTGAATGCAGTTGCAGGTAACACTGAAGAAGCTGAGAAATCCAGGCTCTCCAGTGGTGATGGGAACTGGACACTCGCTGCCTTAATCCGAGCCTGCAGGCTGCTAACTAGCAAGTTTGTCTGCTGCCAC